TAGAGAGGTGGGATTTAAATAGACCCTGGGTAGCGATTTCTTTATTGTAAAATTATATTTAGCTTTTACCTCCAAACTAGAGGTCAAAGCTGACGAAAATGCTCTAAAAATCAGTGAAGTTAGTTGAGGACAAAACAATAAGCTGTACGCAGAAGCCCTCACAAGCTAAAGGCCCCGGATGACAGGCTATTGCCTGAGAAGCCCCCGCCACATGGCTTTGGGATGCTGATTTGTTTTGTTCTTTAAATCTCGAGTCACTGTCTCCATGCCCTTTCTCCCAGAGTCTCCTATTCAGTACAATCGAGAGGCATGCTACCTTACCACGAGCTCGTTTATTCCTGCCATCAGTTTAAGGAGAGCTGTGACAACTGCAGTTTCACCCATCCTGCTCACAAAACCACGGCTCCCGCGTAGACACGAAGTTTCGTCCTACCTTAGTCTGGAAGATGCCCTGATGAGGAATATCTGTCCTGTGTGTCCTTCCTTCCCGCCAGGCACCAAATGAGGCTGATGCTTCACATGGCTATCCCAAGTGTGTCTCCGGCTAATCCCATGTCACCAAGGACCCAGACAGCAGAGACACCCTCATGCCACTCTAAGGAGCTCAAACAAGCATTTTATACTTCAAGCTAGAGGAAAGATAAGTAACTTCAGTGAAATGTCTCACCCTTCCCCAAAACGCCCAGCAGAGACCACTGTGTTTCCTGTGTGTGACCTCATATATATGACTAGTGATACCACAAAGAACAACTTCTCATAGACAGACATGGCCATTTCAGGGGTAATTTTTTTTTTGAGAGCTAGCTAACAAGCACACAGAACAGTATGCAAATCATAAATAAATTTGTCATGTTCTGAATGACTGTCCCCTCCCTAACTTATTCAAATGCAACTGTGTTAGGTATCAATCGTATGAAGAGGCTGCCACAAGGTCTCTACTTTCAGGGCTAAATTAACAGCAGCCTCCAGGGAGTGGGCCCATTAATTTGAGAGTGGGTTCCTTAGTTTGGGTGCTCTTTCTGTCTCTCTCTCTCTCTCTCTCTCCCTCCCTCCCTCCCTTCTTTCCTCCATCCCCACTTCTGCTGTGAGATGCCTTCCCCCATATGGTAGTCTACAAGTACTTGTCTGTGTCCTGAATGCTTTATAAGGACACAAGCCATATTTGCTTAGGGCACACACATAAGACTTCATTTTATCTTAATTAAACCTCTTTAAAGGTCCTATCTCCAAATAAAGTCACATTCTGGGGTCCCTGGTGCTGTGCCTGCACGGTGACATCACTGAACTGTCCCTTCATCAATGTACCCAGAAGTACAATCTACACCCCAAGAAGAAGGTCAAATGAAGCTAGGCCATACCTGGCCTATGACCCTGTCCATCCAATTAGGTTGTGGCCAAACTCCATACTTAGTAGTTAGTAGTCGGTCAGTGCTTTGCACCCAGTTCCAGGACACTCACCTGGAGGACCTCAACGCTGGCAGAAGGAGAACAGAGAGTGCAGTGCAGACTTTGGCAGGGTCGTGGTAGGACTGAGGGTGTGGAGTCAGGTACAGGAGGTCACCCACTAACGGCTCGAAGACGAATCTGCGAAAGTAGTGTCAGAGTTAGTGCTGCTTGTGAACCTAGGCACAAGACTGACACTGGAATAGGTGAGCTGAAGCCAGGCAGCGAGAAGGCAACTTTTGTTCTTAATTCAGCGCCTGGAGTGAGGAGGTTTTCATGTCTTTTCTCATTAGTATGTACAATGGCACTTTTGTTCAAGTATATCGTATAATTGGACTCTGTTATTTCTTCCTCTTCCTGAATAGTACCCATTCTTTTTGACATGTCATTCGTATGCGTGGTTATACATATATACTTATGTATAATATATTGAGGTCCCCGCACGAAAGAGAAAATGTGGTATTTGTCATTCTCTTTTGGGGCCTGTTTTATTACTTAGCATGGAAATCCCCAAATTCATCCTGTTTTCCTGAAAATGACACAATTTCACATTTGTTTATGGCCAAATAAACACATTTCTTTCATCCACTCACCAGTTGATGGACACCTAAGTGAATCCCACGACGTGGCCATTGTGAGAAGTGCCACAGTCAACTTGGATGAACAGGTGTCCAGGCCGCGCACGATCCTTTCAGGCAGATTCCCGGAAGTGCTATAGCTGGTCACATGGTAGCTTTAAAAAAAAAAACTGGTTTCCCAGCTTACATCCCACCACATCCATGCCAGCACTTTTTATTTGTTTGTTTGTTTATTTTTGAAGCTTGAGGACAATTTGTTAGAATTTAAAAGGAAAACCCCAGGGCAGGTTAAGTGTCCACCTCCAAGCTGCCCAGAGGAGGAGAATGGAGGTGAGCCACAGGGCGTCAGTTTGCCACACAGTGGAGGGGTTACTTTGTCGCACCTGCTGCCCAGCCTATATCCGAGAATGTAGCGAGGTGGTCGGGATAGATGACACAGAGACCAGTTGGTTGCTTTAAGAAAACTTTATGCTTCCCAAGTCAGCTTAGGAGGAGACCCCAAGTCCGCTTAGGAGAGAGAAGTCTCTCCAAGAAAAACGCTTCCCTTTTTAAGGACTTCTGCCATCCATCTACATACAATTCTCCAACAACTCTCCCAGACTTCTCACCCTCCTGGCTGGTGGTTTAATCTCTGGTTGGGGAGACACAGCAGGGAGCAGGAAGAGGCATCTAGCCGTAGGGGGTGTCAAAGTCATGGTGTTTCAGTGAGGGAGCCCTTATCTGAGCCCTATCAAGAGCTTTATAGTACTGAATTGTTTTCAGTAAACATTATCTCGCAGCTGCCTGCTCCCAGGCCGAAGGGGAAGTGGGTTTCTGCTCAAGGTCTGGTGTCCCCACAGTACTTCAGGAAAAGAACACCAAAGCAATATTGGGGCGTTTAAAAGCTCACTTACGCTCTAGCCAGCAACTGAGAGAAAAGGCTGGAGAGAAGAAAAATAATAGTTACCCTTTTCTGAGCCAGAACCCAGGGAAACAAGCAGACTCAGATGAACCTCGTTGAGGTGTGGCTCCTAGGGACTGCGGTTGTGGTTGTTTTTTAAATGATACCTGTTTTTTTTGTTTGTTTGTTTTTTGTTTTTTGTGGTTTTTACGAGACAGGGTTTCTCTGTATTGTTTTGGAGGCTGTCGGTCCAGACCGGCCTGGAACTCTGGCTGCCTCTGCCTCCCGAGTGCTGGGATTAAAGGTGTGCGCCACCACCGCCCGGCCTCTGTGCAGTTTTAAAGTCTATCCTGGCACTCGTTCTGAAGGCCAGACTGGCCTTGAACTCACAGAGATCCACCTGTCCCCCACCCCCAAGTGCTGGAATTAAAGGCATGTACCATCACCGCCTGGCTGATCTATTTTGCAAAGTGATTTTTTTACATGGGGTGAGTGATATGGATTTAATTTTGTTCTTTTTTTCCAATCATTAGGGAGCTGTACTGCTGTCAGTTTATTCCCGAGTCTTTTATTTTTTAGAATTTATTTATTATGTTTACAGTGTTCTTAAGATTTATTTATTAGGTATACAGTGTTCTGTCTGAATGTATCCCCTCAGGCCAGAGGGCACCAGATCTCATTACAGATGGTTGTGAGCCACCATGTGGTTGCTGGGAATTGAACTCAGGACCTCTGGTAGAGCAGTCAGTGTTTTTAACCTCTGAGCCATCTCTCCAGGCCGGGAGTCTTTTATTTTATTCACTTATGTGTACATATTTGTGGTATTCTTCTATGGCTATGTAGCATAACTTTAAATCAGGTATCACAACACCTCCAGAGTGGTCTTTTAAAAGCTCAGTATTGCTTTGGCTATGTTTTGTTTTATTTTTTTCCTCCAGAGAAATTTGTTTTTTCTATTTCTGTGACAAATGCCATTGGGATTTTGATGGAGATTTATATAGATCTCGTTCATTATTAGTAAAGTCATTTCCACAATATTAACTCTGGAAACCCGTGAGCATGAGGGCCCTTCCATCTTGTGCCTGCACTCTGTTTCTTCAGTGTTTAAAAATTCTCCTTGTATGCTAACCACGTCAGCATCGCTGCTCTTGGCAGGACAGAAGGGGACAGAGGGCAGTATCTTTGGAAATGTTAGCTTCTTCCTGAAGGACTCCAGTTAGACCCAAATGAAACACCCACATTCTGCTAACTCAGCAGTAATCCGAGTGACAGACACCAACCTTGAGCCCGAGGATAGACAAAAGGGTCACTGAAGGATCCAAGGGAGCCTTTCCCGAGCCTTTAAAACCCCGCTGTTTCCATGGGGTTCCTACGGCTGGCTTTGGGAAAGTCAGGGGTGACCCCTTCAGTTTTAAGTGCATGATAAAAACAGAACACACCCACGCCAAAGTCAAAGCTTCAAGCATCCGGTCCATGCAGGCGGGAGCACACACCTCAGTCCAAGTAGAGAGCTCAGAACAACATCTCGATGCCATGGGTACAAGTAGGCACCTAATGCACTCTGGTTAAGAAAGCTAGGGAGTGGACTTGGTTTTACAAAACGTTCGGCATAAAACGTTTTAAAAAGTGGTTCTTAAAAGGAAAAACTCTCATCGACTGCATATGGAAAGCCTAACGCCTTCAAACTTTGGTTCAGATGGAGTATCTGGAACCTAGGTCCTCAAGGGGAAGCAACCGGTGCTCCTCCGTACTGGGACGGTCGCGTCATTTTACAATTTGTTCCTAGTTGTCAGGGCTTGTTTGAAAGTTTCAATCCATTTCTACAGTACGAGCGGGAGGGCGGGCCAGGACCGTGCTTTCCGACTTAGTCTGGCTTTTGGACCTTCCTTTGGTTTGGGTTGCCAAACTGCTCTGACAGTTTGCTTTGGAAACCGCCTTCCGCAGGATTGAGATCTAGGCCCGCGGCTTGGAGACCCGGGAGGAGCAGCAGGCGGGGCCCGGGAGGTGGTGGGAGGAGCCGCGCAATAGGCGGAGCCCCTAGTGGGTGGGGCCGGGCCCTAGAGCGTGGGTGGCGGTTGGTAGTGGTCAGCCTGGCGCGGGGGCGGGGAGTGGGCGGGGCCTGAGCGCGCCTGCGCAGTCCACTCTACTCGGCGGCGGCGGAGACGCGCAGAAGGAAAGATGGAAGACTTCCAGGCTTCCGAGGAGGTAACGTCTGGGCTGGGTCACGGGAGGGTGGCGGCCGAGATCCAGGCGTGGCGCGGCCCCGCCTGGGGAGCCGCAGCTGCTTCTGCCCACGGCCACGCGGCCCGAGGCTGATGAACCTGGGTGGCGGTTCCCAGCGGGCCACTCCGAGGCTGCCCCGCGTGGGCGGTGCCCGCGGTCGGCGGGGCTGGTGGGCTCTTGGGGCTCAGGTGCCCCGCCCGGAGGGTGACATCACTCCGCCCCGTTTGCGCTGCTGCGGACCCCTGCCGAGGCCCAGGTGGGAAAGGAGGGGTCCTGCAGTGGCGTGCTTGATGACACGGGCGCGCAGGGCCAGTTCCCGGCCCCCGAGGTGGGGGTCTGCTGTCCCCGCTGTCTCTGCCAAGTGCAGACGCGCAGACAGAACCTGCCTTTGTCTCGGTGCCGCACCTTGTCCTCCAGTGCGGCGCTGCCTCCCCACACTGGGTACACTGCATTTCAGTCTAAGATAGTAATGAGATCGCTCATTCTTGTATGTGGGGGGGGGGGAGAATGCCAGCCTCTTAGTGCTCTGGACACTTTTCTTGACGATGTGTTGTCAAAATGGCCTTTCCTTCGTCTCCACACGCATTCAGGAAACAGCTGAACGGACCGACCCAGATATAGTTGCTCATTTTTTTTCTTCCTGAATCATTTTTGTTGAAGCTCAATAAAATACCATCTATTACACAGTTTGTCAAAAAATAAAAACACTTCCTCTTTTGACATTTCTAAGGTGTAGTTCAACTACGGATATTCTGAGGGAAGAGTAAGCCATTTGCATTTATCGGAGACTTTCAGTTTTGGTCTAATTTCTCAACACAAAAACTTTATGGCAATGTCATTCTGTTTGAACGCTGGTGGGGACCAAGTGAATAATCTCAAGGCACGATTCGGAAGCAGCTAGCAAAGGGGGCTGTACCCAGATATCAAACTGACATTTATGTTGTAGTCACAGCCAGTCGAACTTTATGAAAAGGAAATGGCCCCGGGAGGAGAAACCCCCTAAAACTCCGCTCTTGGAGCCGCTGACGCTGCCCACTGGGTTCAGTACAGTTTCTCTTCTGCCTTTTTTGTACTTTAACTGTATGGAAAGTTGTGCAAGGACTTCGGTTTGTGGTTTAGGATCACTGTAGTCACTGGAAGAGTCTTTCAACTGGCTCCAAGACATCACAGGTTTTCACTAGTTCAGGGATTTGGTTTTGTTTCCAAATGACTTTGGTCTGGTCATCTCTTGTTCGTCCTGGAGAGAAAGGGGCAAGGCCCACAGTGGTCAGCAGCCAGGAGCCATCTTCAAGGAAACAGGGCTGCCTGCCTCTCTACCAGGAAGGCAGGGGCCTGGGGGCTGCCAGTGCTAAGGACAGCCCAGAACTTAAGAATAGTTTGTTCTCACATAAGCAGCACACGGGCAGGCTAGTGCCTGGCTAATATTTTCAGGACCTCCTTACACCCACTCAAATCCACTGTTATGTTAAAAGTAAGAAAACTCCATGCTCTGCCTTGCCAGCAGCCCACAGGGTAGAGAAAAGTGATGTTAGCACACCAGCCTCCTACACGATGAAGGTCCTAATCCGTTTACATCAGGGAAGAGAATGTCCCATCTCTAAAATGGATTGCTTACATTTCTTTAGCTTGTTTGTATGGAAGTCGAGTAACTCATACCCTAGCGCCTGTACTGCTAACGGTCCCGACAGCCGGCTGCAAGGGAAGGAGAGAGGGATGTCGTGTGCAGTGAAGCTTGGGCTGCAGGGTGATTTGAACAGTGGTGGCCTGCACGTTGGCCCTGCAGAGAGCTGGCCCTGTGGTACTCAGCTGCTGCACACCTCGGGCTCTGAGTGGTGCGGTCCTCTGCATGGTCGACACGTGCGTTATCTCACGGTGGAGAAAGATTTTCTTCAACCAGACTTACCTACATTTTCTCCCTTAACAGACTGCATTTGTTGTTGATGAAGTGAGCAACATTGTAAAGGAGGTAAGAGGAGACACGCTGTTTTCCAGTGTTTGGGTGATGGCAGTGTCTTACAGTTAATGTTGCTGTAATGAACCGCCGTGACCAAAGCAACGGGGAGGAAAGGGTGTCCACACGTCCACATCCCTGTTCATCACTGAAGGAAGTCAGGACAGGAACTCAAACAGGGCGGGAACCCGGGGGCAGGAGCTGATGCAGAGGCTGTGGAGGCTGCTCACTGACTTGCTCTTTCCTTTCTCAGCCTGCTTTCTTACAGAACCCAGGACCACCAGCCCAGGGATGGCTCCACCCACAATGGGCTGGGCTCTCCCCCTTCAATCACTATTTAAGAAAATGCCCTACAGGTTTTCCTATAGCCTTTTGGAGGCGTTTTCTTAATTGAGATCCCTTCCTCTCAGATGACTTTAGTTTGTGTCAGGTTGACATAAAACTAGCCAGGACAGCATGTATGAGGGAAATGCCATATGAGTCAAAATGGGAAAAATTGCAACAGCTATTGAGCCTCTGTGTTTTGGCATTGTAAACATTTTTACTTACAAATAAGTAAAAATCACTCCCATATCATATACATTTTGTATACTAAACCAGGAAATCTTACATGGCGTTAGAAGGTGTTAAGGCAGATTCTGTGACCTTGTAGCATACAGAAGACTCATGACACAGGGATAAATGTCTCCAGTGTCTGATGAAAAAGAGCAACTGCAGAGAAAATGCAACAATTTGCCACAATTCAGGACCTGGCGATACAGTTAGGGGTTTATTCATAGAGTTTTCTTATGTTCTTAAACACTTGTGAGAAGTATCCAAAACCAAAATGATTCCTCTTTTACGAACACTGCTCAGCACTGGGTGTGATGTTTGCCTTTTATCGTTTCCAGTGCAGTGTTTCCTGTGGAGCAGGTGGGGTGGAAAGTTGTAGGCTAGCCCAGAGCTGGGGGTAGAGCGGGCTCCTCAGGGGTGAGTTTTGCCTCTTGTTTCTGTATCCACTTAGTCAGTTAGCAGGCAGCAGGTGCCGGAAGGACGCGGTAGCAGCCCACAGGGAGGTGGGAGGTGACTCAGCTTTTTGGCCTTGGCGCTAGGTTTGCTCTGTCCTCACACTGTTTAAAAGTGCTCTAAGTGGAATATGAGTGGGTTCAAAATAGAGGTTTCCTCTCTCCCTAAAAACCGAATTTCACAGTGCATAGAGAGGGCTGTCCTTCCTCCTTTGACGGTATTGTGTCTTGACCAACGCAAGACCCCTGGTCCTCAGCCCACAGTGTACTCTCAGCCTGGAGTTAGGCAGAGAATATGGGGCAACTAGGAGCTGTGTCGCCGTGACTGCTCAGAGCCCCAAGTCTGCAGCTGCAAATCATGGCTTATCCATTGTAGGTTTTTATCCCCCAGAAGCCCAGTTGCTGCACCCAGCCTGCAGTGGCAGACCCTGTTCCCTCGCCACTGTGCAGCGAGGGCCCCGACCTCGTGTCTGAAAATAAATCACAACCCCCAGTGAATGCTCTCTACGTTAGCCTGTCATAAAATCTTCATTTTCTGGCTCCTAGCAGGTTATGGGGGCCGGGGGGAGATGCCCAGAGATGCACTGACTGCTGGGGGTGGGGCTGCTGGGAGACCCAGGGAGTCTCTGCATGGGAGGCTCTTGGCCCTAAGTGTAGCAGGGACAGACAGTGAGCTCCGCTCTGCTCCGCAGAGGCCCTGGGCGTGTGTGTGGTGACACGGCCCATAAAACGAGGGCTGAAAGCGCCAGGAGACTGCCTGGTTGTATATTGCCAGTTGTCCAAACAGCCAGTAAAATGTCATCTCATACACGCTGCTAAATCATATATGTTATGGTTTGATGAAAATGTCTACTATACTTTTAAAAAATTGGCAAAAATAAAGTATTTTCAGCCTCCATAAGAAAAAGGGCTGCTTATCTCTAGATATTAACAGTAGCGTGAACATCCATTTGTTTAGTTGAAATGTGGAACACATTAGACAGACTGTAAAACACAGATCTCCAGCCAATGTAAACATAGCTGAGACAGGGTAATGCTGTGAAGAAAGCCATTCTTGCAAACCCCTGAGAGAAAGCATAAGCCCGCATCCTCCGAGGGTCTGCCTTTAGCTCCCAGGGTGGGCCACGGGCCATTTTGGGTGGCTGGTGGGTGGTTGTGGTATCTGGTCTCTCTCCGTGACCTCTTGTGATTTTTCCCCTAGGCTATAGAAAGTGCCATCGGTGGCAACGCCTACCAGCACAGCAAAGTCAATCAGTGGACCACAAATGTTGTAGAGCAGACTTTGAGCCACCTCACCAAGCTGGGAAAACCATTTAAATACATTGGTAATGTATCTTCTTCCTGTGTGTTTTGATACCATTCTTTAAATACTGATCAGAGGTGTCTGGTGGCAGAAGAATGCTAATTTAGCAATTTTTACATAAGCTCCAACGAAGCTCCTGCCAGAACCAGGTCACTCGTGTAACTATGCTCTTCCAGGACAGGCCTCTCGGGTAGTGACTGAACCATGCTCTTCCGGGACCAGGCCTCTGGGGTAGTGACTGAACCATGCTCTTCCGGGACCAGGCCTCTGGGGTAGTGACTGAACCATGCTCTTTGCCCATCAGGCTGATACCACCGTCGCAAGGTTCACGTCAAACAGGAATTTACAGGATTTCTGATCAGACATGTTTAGAATATGTTAAGATAAAGGGAATAATGTAATTTGTCACAGGCTGAGACAAGACAGTCTGCCCTTATAATTTAGAACATCAGCCATGTGATCTGCCTACAAAGCAGGCAAAGTGAATTATGTTGCTAAGTTTCTAACGAGATGTGTTTACTTGAAGTGACCTGTGTGATCATGCAGAAGAACGGAGCTGGGTTACACACTGCAAGTTCCTGCTTCTGGGACAGCTCTACGGACGGTAGGGTTTCCACCCTCTTAGGAAATGCTATGCCCATTCTCTTCAGCCTTCCCACAGCTCCCTGGCCCAGAGATTGGCAGTCCTAAGGAACAGTGTTCTGTGATGTGTATGCTTAGATGTCTCATATTCCCCCATGCATTTCTGTAAAAGTTACCATTGCCTGGTGCAGTGTGCGCACCTTTAATTCCAGATCTAGAGAGGCAGAGGCAGGCAGATCTCTGAGTTGGAGGCCAGCCTGGTCTACATAGTGAGGCCCTATCTTAAAAACAAAACAAAACCCAACATTCTGTAGACACTCGCCCGTTTATCTGTAAGTAGAGCCAGGCAGGGAAGTCACTGTTTGTATGTGTCTGTCAGAGGCAGGCACCGGAGCGCTGCATCCCCTGGGCTCCCTCATTCCCGGTGCCTGTCTGTCTCCCCACAGGGAGCTGCACGGTGCGATGGGAGAACAAGACCATGTACTGCATCGTCAGCGCCTTCGGGCTGTCCATCTGACCTCCTCGCCAGCCTGCGGCTCCGCCTTTCCGTTTCATCCTAACCACCAGCTATGAATCGGGTGATCACCTTCCTCCTCCTTGTGTTGTGTGGCACTCTCAAATGTAGAGAAATAAACCAGATGACTCCGTGGTCACAGGAGCACAATGTCAGGCAGTGGAGCAGCCAGCCACCTGTCACCCGAGGCTGGTGGTGCCACTTGTCTTAACTGTCTCTTCTCAAAGGTGCTAAAAACCGACGTCTGCGAGGAGGAAACTTTCTCTACTTCCTGAAATGATTCAGATACACTAATTTTCCATACTTTATACTTTTGTTAGAATAATAAATTATTCAAAATTAAAGTTTCTGTGTTCGTTGTAGTCTGAAGCATCACACATGAATCTGTTACTGCCTTCAGAATTTTGTTTTTAAAGGTTGTTTTCAGTCGGTGACTGCCCTGGCTGATGGCTTCACGATAGTGCAAGCTCAGGAGCTTTGCTGGTCATGGATCCGTTTCTTTGATGATGAAGCATGGTATACTGGCAGGGCTGGAGAGGTCATGAACCTCAGAGGCATATTAGACACATGTGACATGATAAGCCTCCCTCAAAGGCCTGGAACAATGGCAGATGTCTCTACCCCATTGGTTTGTTTAATTTTGTTTGTTTTTCAAGACAGGGTTTCTCTGTTGTTTTGGAGGCTGTCCTGGAACTCGCTCTGTAGACCAGGCTGGTCTCGAACTCACAGAGATCCGCATGCATCTGCCTCCTGAGTGCTGGGATTAAAGGCGTGCGCCCTTAAATTACATTTATTTGTGTGTGACAGTGAGTAAGAACACGAGTGCCGTGACACACTGTGGAGGACAAAGGACAGCTCGGGGAGTTGGTTCTTTCTCCATCCCTGGCCCCAAGGACGGAACTCAGGCTTGGAGGCAAGCCCCTTTCCCTGCTGTCTCACTTGGTGGCAAGCCCCTGTCCCTGCTGGGCTGTCTCACTGACCAATCAGTTTAGTTTCATTGCGCTGGTCATCTCAGGGCACAAACCAGGAAGAAAAACAGCATAGGAGAAAAAAAACTCCGTGGATTCTTTCCCCAGCTATTGGTGAACAGAAAATGTCTTAGTAGAGGGCGAAAAAACAACAAAAATATAGCACTGTCTTGGTCTCTCGAGTGGAACTGTGTTGGTTTTTACCTGTGGGAGTAGGCGCCCAGGCGTGTGCGATCCTTCATGCTAGTCCCTGCTTTTCAGAAGGGAAGGGTACAAGCTGGCCCAGCCAGTAAGCTCCAGCTCCTGCGTGCTCGGCCCAGCGCCATTACACTGCAGCCTTCAATCCATGGGCTCCAATTTTCACCGCAGCCAGGTGTTTAGTATTGGAGTTCAGAAGACACTGTTAGAAGTACTGTGTTCATAACAAGTGATGCGGTTGCGTGCAGCTTATCCAATGAATTCCAAGTCATGAATCCTAGTGGGAGGGGACCCCAAAGAGCAGGCTGTCTGTTGACTGCTTTGGGGTTCTTGTGGGCCACAGCAGACACTAGGATTGGCATCACCGCTTGCTTGGTGTGTGCGTACATCGGTCTGTGTAGAAGTGCACACTCATGGATGTGTCTCCTGTGCTGTCCTTCTCCAGCTTATTTTCTGAGATGCCTCCCGCTGCACGTGGATCTCACTGCTTCAGCTAGTGCGGCTGCCCCTCAAAGCCCAGGGCCCACTGTCTCCTGTGCCCACTCTCGCGTGGGTACTGGGAATCCAAATTCACAAGCACTCTACCCACGAGCTGTCTCCCAGCGCCCTGAAGAATCCTCTTTGTATTCATGTAAAAAGCAAGTACTATGTAAAAGATGAAAAGTTAGAAATATACTAACGTTGATACACAAGGGGTGTTGTCAGAATGAAGTGGTTGCAGTTGAGTGTGAAATGTCCCTTACAGGCGCCCGTGTCAAACACGGTCCTCAGCTGGGAGCGCTATTTGGGGAGGTGCTGGGAACTTCAGGGGTGGAACCCACTGAAGGAAGCAGGTTACAGCCAGCAGGTCCTGGAGGGCAGGGCTAGGGTCTCCTGCTCTGTCCCATTCTGTCACTGCCTTGCTCCCTGGCCACCAGGAGGTGAGCCGCTTTGCCACACTCTTGGCTCTCCCCATCATAGGCCCATGGTGGCGTGAGCTAACCACAGACCCATGAGCTGAAGTAACTGTCCTGTGGGTCCTTCATCAGGTCTCGCAGCAATGAAAGGTCTAATACAGAAGCCATTCCCCAGACATGAGTCTGACTGCGTTTCCCACAAATAAGCATTTATTTGCACGTTGACTGCCTGTCCAGCGACACTGCTCCTAACTCATAGTTCCAGTTTCTTCTGGACTTAGAGCCTAGTGTTTTAACTTAACAACTATCTACAGACACTGTAAAAAAGGCAGTTTTCAGTAGCAGAAAGTCCTCTGTGCCACAGAATGGAATTACCCCTGTTCCATGTGTGTCACAGAATGGTATTAACACCTGTTCTGTGTCACAGGCTGTGTCATGAAGGGTATTACACTTTGAAGCACCAAAACACCAAGATAAACTTCAGCAAGGTGTCTGACTAAATCAGTTTCCCTTTGGTCTGAAAAATAGTTGCATCTCACTGCCCAAAGGAAATCTAACCACTAAGGCAACGGATTTCTAATTCCTCAAATATACAAATACAGACCAGGTGTTGGCTGTTCCCATGGAATACTCACAGGGAAGACCCTTTTAATTCTCTGTTCATGGTGCTCATGTGTTTCTTGTGAAGATCAGTGACCAAATGCTAACCCGTTCATCGTACCTGATGGTGCAGCACTTGAGGCCTGTTTTGTAAACTCCATCTGGGGTTGGCTTTACACATCTAAACTCACTGCAGTCCGGAACAGTACAGAGAACGCCTTTCGAGCCTCCAGTGTATCTTATATATCCCCTCTCTGGGCATCCCAATGGGGCTTGAAGGTACCATGACACTGCTACAAATATTGACAAGAAATCCAGCAGACTCACTATCCACAGGGACACAAGCTCTCTCAGGGGAAGCCACGAGACATGACTTCATTTTCCAGGTTCCCCTAGATTGAACCAATATCAAAAATACCCAAGGACAGTATTATTCAAACCATTACCCTGAAAGAACTTGTTAGCCCTTTGAATTTGTAACTTAAATTTATAAAACTTTAATTCCCTCAGAGCAAAACAAACAGTCTTCTCATTACTATCAAAAGTTCCTGGCAGAGTTTAGTGTTTGAACCTAATAAATACCCACAGCCTCAGTCCACACACCGAAGTCTCTAGATCTGTAAGCTGAGTTCACAAAGCTTATACTACATGATGTACACGACACTAGGGAAGAAAATGTGAAAACAATTTAATGACTACTTCCCCTTAAGTGCTTCTTGGTAATTCCTATTTCCAACAAAAAAATATTCCCGGATTTTAGTTTCACAGACAGGAGGATCAGCTTATAATTACAGTGCAGGACAGTTTTCAAAAGTCCTCAAGTCTGTACACAAATGCTTAAAATATCTTACACTGAATGATAAATAGCATTCTAAATCACAGAGAATTTCTAATAATGATTAAAAAGAAGTGAACTATCACATATTGGAACAGTACAAGTCCATGTCCATAAATGATAGCTGCAGTGGTCCATTAGAAGTTGTATGTGTTGGTAACAAAGAACCTTCCAGTATCTCTGAGAACACAGAATCAGAGTGATTGCAGCACTGCAAATGTAAAAATCATGTAAACGTGTTACCTTTCCAACTATTGTTTTCATTCAAATGTTTATGTGTGCAAATTTTTTTTTAAACAATGCACATGGAATCCATATTAAAGTACACTGAGGTTTAAGAAGACAGGCAGACAGAATGAAGAGTCTCTAGGCATCCCTGGGGTCCCGGCCCACCTGGGCAGTAGCCTGCAGCTCAGAGCAGATATCTGAGTCGGTGCATAGAGAAGGATCGTGGTGCTTCCTGAGCGGGGTCCACCGCTCTGGGCCTCGGGTTTACCAGGACAGAGGCAGGCAGGATGGCTACCGTTACCGGTGTTCACAAAGGTGTTACGTGTGGGGAGACTCCATGGAATGTGATGGAAGGCAGTGGCACTCAGGGCTTCCAATGCTGAATTTCACTAATGCGGGTGACATCCATTTTCCACAGGGCTCCAAGGACAACGACCTCCAAGTAAGTTCCTTTATCTGAAGTGTTTCCATAACCATTCAAAATGTTTAACTTTCTCTTCATTTTAGTGACAAATGTTAAACTGGAAACCTTTTTGACAATAAAGAATTTCTAATCTAGTAATATTTCGTGTAGTGTTCATTAAAAACAACAACAAAAAACCAAACCAGAGCTCTTTGAGGTCTCATACTCAGTGGAGTTGCAGAAACTTGGAACGGGAAGGGCCACCCTGTTTTCCACCCAGTCCTATAACATAGGCAGACACTTGCACACGGGCCCTCAAAAGCACCATGGCACAAGACCTTGCCCACAGGACTACTGGCTTGTAGACACCTTAGCTTCCTCCTGTCTGAGACACAGACAGACAGACAGACACACACACACCCACACACCCTGACTTCTGCTCAGGGGCAGTGGCAGACTGCACTTAGCCACCCACCATTCCTGAAAGCTCCATTGTAAGTGGTTCACCAAATGCAATGAAGGCCATCATCCCAGATGCCTGGGAGTCAGCATGGGCCCGCCATGTGTCTGTGGAGACGGTGGTCCCCACCGAGGCAGGTGCAGGCCCAGCTTCGCTTTGAGGGTAGAGCACTCAGGAAAGGGGGCATGGGGAAGAGGCTGCCACCCTGGGACCTCGGCCATCAATCAGGCCTCCCGCACACTCAGAGCTGGCAAACTGCTTTGTAAGAGGAAAAGTACATAATTCTTTTTATTAAACTGGGTAATTTCTCGTCCTCATCGCACACAGGCTCCTTCTCGTCCGGTGTCTCTGTGAAAGGGTTTGCCTTTGGCTTCTCCGCCAGCCGGCCTCCTCGTCAGTAGTGGAGCTGCCCCAGCAGCAAACTCCAACCAACCTTCAGTCCATTTGGTTTTTCTTTTAAAAATATGTAAACAAATAAGGAACAGGAAACCTCTGCTTCCAGGAGTCCAAACACACACAGAAGAAAGGCCCAGGACACGTCACTAGGGAAGGCCTCTGGCCCCCTAGCTGTCCCATCTGCTGCAGGGCTCAGTCACTGTCCGACTCTTCCTTGTACTTGGCCCGGATGGCCTGGCCGTTCTGCAGGGGCATTTCTTCGTAGTCGCTCCTGTTGTAAAAGAGACCTTTGACACTCTGACATTCTGGTAGCTCTTTTTGTGTGTGCATGTGTGAGGCCAGAGGGCAGCATTAGGTGTTTCTTTATTTGTCTCTTTATTGAGACAGGGTCTCTTCCGGAACTGGGAGCTCACTGAGCCCCAGAGAGCCTCCTGTCCCCAACCCCCAGTGCTGGGATTATAGGTGTGTACCACTGAGCACTGGGTCTGACTTTTGTTTGTGTTGTGTTTTGTGAGAGATCTCAGTATGTAGCCTTGGCTGGACTGTAACTCAAAGATCTGCCTGCCTCCGTCTCCTGGGTGCTAGGACTAAGGGCGTGAGCCACCACGCCCAGCTCAGAGTCTGGCATTCTGCATGGGTCCTTGGGATCTGGACTTGGGTCCTACGCTTACACGGCAGGGACTTACTCTGTTGCCTCTCCAGCAACACCTGGCAGCCCGTCCTTCACTGCACTTGGCTGCCGCGCTGCCGTACCGGATGAGCCCACCTTACAGCCTCTCTCTTAGGGTCTAGTCACCTGACATGTCGGCTCTTCCCAACTTGACTCCTGGCACCTATTAACTCAGACAAACCTGTTCTGTAGGAACCACACACTGCAGGCGTTCCACAAAAGGAAATGCCACTAAATCCATAGGAGGCACACAAAACAAAGCCACAAAACTCCTGACACTCCCAGTCAACATTCTGATGCCATGGAGACTATCATTTTTTCAGTAAGCAGATAGAGCTAGGCTGGAAGGCACAGGGTGACAGTCACTTACCCGTAAATCACATCGTCATCAGAATCGTTCAGCATGGAAAACGCAGGGTTGTCTTTTAGCTGGGACTCTGAAAATTCAACAAACGCCTTTTTAATGAGAGCATTTTGTGTTATTCGCCAGGGAGAGGTCTGAAGGAGTTAGACCCAAAGCCTCAAGTAGAGTCAGTAGTGGTGTGCTGTGAGACTGTGACATCATAGGTCAGCACAGCTGTGCCCTGAGTTCAACTTGAGGCTACCATCCACCTGCCTTCTCTCTGTCACGGGACCCTGTACCCGGGGAAAACATGAGCCAATGGAAACTCTTGCGTTTCAGCTATCTGGACGGCGACCCTGACCCGAGGTGGCTCACCATACAGAGCATTCTTGGATGGAGAGTACACGAAGGCCAGCGTGTACAGGTAAAAGTTCAGCAGGCCATAGAAAGACAGGAATTCCGCTGGTGGTGTTGGTCAAGGGTGAAGCGTGGGTTTGGACATGTAAGCCTCCGCCTCCTCCCATTTCCCAGAAGCCCTTTCCAGGATGAACCACTGACCAGCTTGAGGAGGGGTGGGAGTCCACAGCCCAGATGCCAGGATGCCTCAGTTCAAGTCATGGCCAGATGTCACAAGGACAGGAAGGGGACTGAGGTCTACTGACATAAGGAGATGCAGAACCGAAGCTCAGAATTCTACCTCCTCCACACTACAGACCCCCAAGTGCCTACGGAATCAGTGTAGAGCTTAGTCACAATAAAAAAGGCCATCATCAATCCCAAGACACACCTGTGTTCCATCTGCCTGACCACAGACAGGGGAGCCAGGGGAAACAAGACATGGCCTGGAGGTGGGCACAGTGGGCATCGAAGCTCTGGTGCTGAGTGAGCCTTCCCTGTACCAGACTCGCGAGCCAAGCTGTCACCATAGTGATGTCACCATAGTGATGCTGATGCTGGCATCTGGCTGCACCTGAGTGATGCTTAGACAATGCCATTGGCACAGAGGTGCACATAGGCCTCCAACCCTCAGTGCGCGCGCGCTCTCTCTCTCTCTCTCTCCTCTCTCTCTCTCCTCTCTCTCTCTGTCTCTCTCCTCTCTCTCTCTCTCCCTCTCTCCTCTCTCTCTCTGAGACTATCCCACTGAGAAGAAAGCAGCAAGGCCTTGAGGATGGTCTAGTGTGGTCATCAGCTTGGATCCAGGCTGTGCACACAGAGTGACTAACCTTGGGCACTGACTCAGCCCTGCTGTGTGTGAGCTTCCGGCCTAACAAGGAGGACGGATGAAACCCACCCTTCCCAGGGCCAACAGGGAGCCAAGAGGGAGGGCAAGGCAGGCCTGAGGCCTGCTGAGCACAGGTCGCTAAGGGGCTGACCCATCCATCCCCTGGTAAATGTCCAAAGTGAAGGTGTTAACCATGCACACAGGGCAGCCGGCAGGCCTGGCTCCCCAGGTCAAGGATATAGTTCTGGTAGTGAGCCGACAGCTCCGCTACAAAGTTGTCTTGCAACACTTGTGCTCCAAACCTTAGATAGAGGATGACGATGCTGGAAGAGAAGGGAACCACGGTGTAAAACACACAAGTTCTCTCCCCATTGGTACTTAACAGGAAACTCATACACATGCCTATGTGACCCCCACAGTTACGGCGGCTCCCAGGAAAAACACAACAGCCACTACATGCTGTCCAAACAACCAGAAGAGCAGCTCTGGCACCTACTGGATGGTTTTAATCTCTTGGAACTTACTCAGGAGTCTGGGGGAGGGCTTTGTGGATGGCAGCCACCTGTCCTGACGGTGGCTTCTCCTTGATGCCTGCTGACAGCCCTTGCCTGGTCCTGTCCTCAATACCAAAGGACCTGGAGGCCCAGACACTCCTCGGGTACACCTCCAAGGGAGTACTTCCCTGGTGTGGATGACCGCGTGTGTTCGGCAGGGTTCAGAGTGGCGGGGTTAATGGCTTCACCAGCCAGGACATTCATGGTGGAACTTTTGCTACCCAGACCGTTATATGACTTTTTATTTGTTTGTTTTGGTCTTTTGAGACAGGGTTCCTCTGTGTAGCTCTGGCTGTCCTGGAGTTTGTTCTGCAGACCAGGCTGGCCCCGAACTCAGAGATCTACCTGCCTCTGCCTCCCACATGCTGGCAGTAAAGGTGTGTGCCACCATAGCCTAGCTGTTATATAACTTTAACCAGGAGTCCTCTGACTTTGTGGACATGTGTGGCCACAGGTACCCTGAAGTAACTCCACAGAGATAACAGATGGAAACACAGTGCTACCTCACTCGAGAAATGAAGTCCTGGGGCTGGGAGAGGCTCTGGGCCTATCATGCCTGTCATGCTTACATGAGGACCTGACTTTAGATCCCCGGCGCCAGGTAAAAGCCGGGAGTGGTGGAGGGCATCTGTAAGCGCTTGGGAAGTGGGGTGGAGGAGTGCAGAGATGGTTGGATAGCCATCCTAACCAATCAGTGAGCTCGGGGTCCCGTGATGGCCCTGTCTCTAAAAACTAGGATGGAGAACTGGGCCAACAGGACGGCCCAGCAGGAAAGATGCCCGAGGCCACGCCCGGCAACTGAGTCTCATCCATGGACCACACTCTCGAGGAACGAGCAGCAGAGAATCCATTCCTGCGTCTTTTCCTCTGACCTCCACACACATGCGCACACCCCAACACACACAACACATTCACACACATGCGCACACCCCAACACACACAACACATCCACACACATGCGCACACCCCAACACAACACATCCACACACATGTGCACACCCCAACACACACAACACATCCACACACATGCGCACACCCCAATACACACAACACATCCACACAGATGCGCACACCCCAACACATACAACACATCCACACACGCGCGCACACCCCAACACACACAACACATCCACACACATGCGCACACCCCAACACACAACACATCCACACACACGCGCACACCCCAACACACACAACACATCCACACACATGCGCACACCCCAACACACACAACACATCCACACACATGTGCACACCCCAACACACACAACACATCCACACACATGCGTACACCCCAATACACACAACACATCCACACACATGCGCACACCCCAACACAACACATCCACACACATGTGCACACCCCAACACACACAACACATCCACACACATGCGCACACCCCAATACACACAACACATCCACACAGATGCGCACACCCCAACACATACAACACATCCACACACGCGCGCACACCCCAACACACACAACACATCCACACACATGCGCACACCCCAACACACACAACACATCCACACACACGCGCACACCCCAACACACACAACACATCCACACACATGCGCACACCCCAACACACACAACACATCCACACACATGCGCACACCCCAACACACACAACACATCCACACACACGCGCACACCCCAACACACACAACACATCCACACACACGCGCACACCCCAACACACACAACACATCCACACACATGCGCACACCCCAACACACACAACACATCCACACACATGCGCACACCCCAACACACACAACACATCCACACACGCGCGCACACCCCAACACACACAACACATCCACACACATGCGCACACCCCAACACACAACAACACATCAGAGAAGTAGTTGATATAGAAAATAGGTGGAAAATGAAAGAGGAAGACACACACACGTGTGCACACCCAGACACGCATGATGCATACCCAGGCACAGCCTGACAACAGATGCACACATGCACGCCGTCTCCCACACACAGTAAAGTCTTACCTAATAACAAGCACGACAAAGGTCAATGCAGTCAAAAACTTTAACCTGAGATCTGAAAAAAAGGAGATGCTTCCATTAACAAACTCCTCCTCACCTCAGAGTCTCAAAGACAAAAACAAAGCCACCAGGGGGCAGGCCCTCTCCCTTGCGTGCTCTATGCCTGATCTACCGTGGCTGGGGAAGACCACACACAGTGGGCCCTAAATGCTGTGGCTTGCCCAGCCGGTAGACAGGGCTATTTATGGTCATATAGGTCCCTGGCAGTTCTAGCCCCGAGGCACCATGGACCACTGCTTCTACTTGAAAGGCTTCTCTCCAAATTGCCGATCCTTCCCGAGGGTTCTCTAGGGCCTGCGGCTTTTGGGGGTGTGGCCCCTGCTGCCCCATGCTTCCCAGAGTGGCACTCACCCACATAAGGCATGTGACGGAGCTCGGAGCATGCCCGCACTATCAAGAACAGGAGGTATAAAACGTACAGAGCGGCCACCACCATGAAGAAGACCTTCATACCCTGTAATAAAGGAGACAGGAGAGGCTGAGACTAGGCAGTGGGGTGTGTGTCCGTCCGCACGCACAGGTGTGGAAGCCCAGTGGGATCAGAGGGGACGCAGGGCCTGAGGTCAGTCCACTGCCCCGGCACCAGGTCACTCAAACTCACACACCAGAGGGCGCTGGGCAACTGGTGGCGGCCACTGATGCCTTTGCCTGGGGTGGGGCCTGGTCCCTGCACTACTGAGGACAAAGGGTATGCTTGCTGATAGGATGTAGGGCTGGACCTGCCTTGTCCTCACACAAGCCTTGGCGTTGCTGAGAAAGGAGGGCTGAGTGGAAGCTTCTGGGAGAACTAAGGTCTGGAAGCATTCCTTTCCATTGCTTGAGGATGGGAGAGCCCTTGTCTGAGGGCCAGGCCAGCAGCTCTGATGAGAGGTGACATGCTCTCCTCATAGAGCCTTCTTGCCTATGAGGTTCTTCTGGGTGGGAGCTCGCCCCTTTCCTGACCTCCCTGACGCAGAGACCCTCTCTCATGGTGCAGCTGCAGGTCAGGGACCAGGGTTTTCTTTTGCTGTGCAAGGACCGTCAGCCTGCACTCAGTCGTCACAGGGGGAGGGGCAGGACGGCTGTGCCCAGCACCCAGCAGTCTCGGATCCCTGCTGTGTCCTTCAGTAAAGGATGTGGGCTGCTCTCTGTTCTTGAGTCTCACAGCTGCACTCCAGACCGTGTGGCTGGGAAGGGAAGGGCTCGCCAACAATTCAGGATGGGAGCCTGATCTGTGACATCTGGCCAAGAGCTCTGCATTCCTTATATGATGTGGGAGATTCCATTATTGACCCATTTTATAGATGAAGAGACAGCCACTGCTTGAGCCTGTAACGGCCTAGGCTGCATACCCTTGTACTGTGGCTCCTGACTCTGCCTCAGTTTGCCAGAAACGACGAGCCAGGCCCGACAAGCGCAATGGCAATGGCAGCCTAGTCCATCACCACCAATCCTCCAAATCTGCAAGTGCCACAGTCTTAGCTGACTCTCCTGTGAAAGGCCACAGCCGCTCCTTCCTGGACCCACCTCCCACCCAGAAAACCCCTTGAGGCTGTTGCCCTGCCTACAGCTGGCTTCAACACCCACCACCACCCCTCCGCCACCCAATAAGGACTCTCTATCTGAGCTAAGCTCCTCCCAGGGCGCTCCTCTGGTCTCCCCAGATCCTAGACCAGTCTCTTTTCCAGTCCAGCGCCCTCTCTGGCTGAGGTCCTCATGCCTGTGTGGCAAGTTCCTTCCACTCCTCAACTTCCGTATCCGTTTGTGAACAGCCTCTGAAGCTTGTACTAACGGCGTGAGCAGAGTTACAGAACCAGCCACTTCATAAAGAAGACCAACCAATGTGAGGCTTCACAAACAGTGCTTACCTGAAAGTTTCCCGTGTCAACGCGATACTGGTACATGGGGTCGTGTAGTTCATTAAATCTAAAAGGATGGTGTTAGAAACACAGACTAATAAGAAAGCTTACTTTGTGTTTCACACTTTTCCCGAGTCAGCGTTTTCTTTCTTCTTTTGGCTTGTAAAGGTACAGTAGTTGCTACCACCACTGGAGGATTTTTAAATAGCAACTCTGTATTTTACACTGCACTACGCTGGGCATAGGGGCACTCGCTCATCGGCAGGGTCAAGGTGTGGGATTTGTTTCTTACAGATATCCCTTACACAGTTAAAGAGCTATCTTCTATAAAAGATTTGCTTTTTTCTTTTTTCTTTTTGGTTTTTCGAGACAGGGTTTCTCTGGCTTTGGAGGCTGTCCTGGAACTCACTTGGTAGACCAGGCTGGTCTCTAACTCACAGAGATCTGCCTGCCTCTGCCTCCCGAGTGCTGGGATTAAAGGCGTGCGCCACCAACGCCCGGCTAAAAGACTTGCTTTTTAATTATGTGTGTGTGTGCCTGGGAGATGATATGTACACATAAGAGCAGGCCAGAGGAGCCAGAGGCGCAGGTTATAGGTGGTTGTGAGCCACCTGGTATGGGTGCTGGGAAGTGAACTTGGGTCCTCTGGAAGAGCAGGACACCAAGTGCCAAGCCATCTGTCGGGCTCCAGGAGCTATTTCAATGGCACACGTGGGCATGTGAGATAGATGGAGGCAGAGCAAGAAAAATAAAATAGAAAGCAGCATGCACTTGCATGCACTTCAGTTTCAGAGTGAGCGCTGGGAGCTAGGCTGGCAGGGAAGGAAGTGATTGGATGGCATGAAGGCTAGTGCCACTGTGGCACGATGAGGCATGAACTGTCGCAAGACCCACACTGCGCCAGGTACTGAGCAGAGTCTCTGGGGCATTCGGCAGTGACGCGTAGCTCTTGGAGCAGAGCTGTTTCTCAAAAGCCATACAAGCCTAGCCAGGCTCACGTGAGTCTAACCAGGGTCACGTGAGTCTAACCAGGGTCAAGCTGGAAGCTATGCAAGGGTAGACAGCCTGAAGATGCAGGTGGGGTCTCCAGTGTCTCTTCTGGGCAGTCCTGGGTACTGTCCCAGCAAACCAAGTCCTTTCTCGCTAAAGAAGTCTACGGTGACACAGGCTTTCTCACATTCCACCTCATACTAGGAAACCTTCTGATGCCAAGCCCAATTCCTTGGATCTGCTTGTCTGACTACAGGTGAGCCAGGGGAGACGCTATAGTCTGGAGGAGATCACAGGGGCGACCGTTCCTCACCCAGCCGCAATACTCACGTCTGCCATATTCCCAGTGTGACAGAAGCCAGCCACAACAGTCCAACGATGAAGAACTTAGGCAAATAGAAAGTTAAGCATTTTCTTTCTCCCTAAAAAAGAAAACAAAAACTAGGAGAAAAGTAAGAAACACAGCAAATAATGACCCCAAGCACTCCTACACAGCATGCCCCTGCTGTGCAGCGTAGGCTCGGAGAGTCTCAGGGCACCGCTCATCTGAAGGATGATTGGCATCAGGGGACGTCTGTGTGCCTGCTTACCTGGACCCGTATCCCATGGTACACGCACAGCCAGAAGAGCAGCAGGGCGCACAGGAACAGAGACTGGAAGAAGTCGTCCAGCATCCCCGGGAGCCAGCTGTTCACCAGGAAGGAGAGCGGGAAGAACGGGTCTGGAAGGCAGGAAACAAACATGGGCGGCCAGCACAGAACACTCCGCCTCTTTCAAGCTCAGAGCTCACTGCTGCGCTTGCTCCTGGTCAGAGCTGAAGGGCACGGGGCAAACCAAAGGCGAGCTTGTTTTCTGAATGTCTTAAACCACTGAGCAGATTGAACACAGTGGCCCTGACAGAGAGAGCGCCATCTGCTCCTTCCACAGCCTGAGAGCTCCCAGAGCGGCGGCTCAGGAAGCAGATGCTCTCTGGGATGAGGAAGAGATGACCGCACGCTCGCGCACAGACGGGCAGCTCGGTCCAGGCTCCCGCTACCCAGGCCGTGTGTGTCTGCTCAGTATCTAAGCATCTGCTATGGCTGTGGAGCACGGTGCCCGGGGGGCAGGGGTGTGCCACACACATCCCTCCAGGGACTCCCTGCGGACACTCCTGGCAACCTTCCAGGATGACCGCCAGCTCTGAGTCTGAAGGGGGAACGTGCGGGATGGAAACGGCACCCACCGTTGTAGAGCAGCAGCAGTGGCAGGAGCACAGACATCCACTTCTGCTCGATGCCCCAGTCTCTCATGGAGAACTTGCGCAGGGAGTGCGCGAACAGGCACTGCAAGGAAAATGGCCCTGTGACTGTCTGCTGGGCCCTGTCCCCCAGCAGGGTGAGCCTCACCCCCTCACGAGGTCAGTCTGATCCACGGGGTCAGTCACTGGCTGGTTAAAGTGACCACCGAGGTCCCACCAGCTATCCATGATAAAAACGTGTAATTGCTGCATGGGGCCACAGGTGACGGGCCGCATGCTGCTTCCGCAAGGCCGTGAATTCTCTGCAGACAGAAAACAGACCCACGCCTTGCTTTTCTGCTGGGCTGCTTCAGTCCGGCCTGTTCCCACACGGAGGCTCATAGGACCTCCCAGAGCACAAACACGTCTGTAGATGCCACCAGGTCACCTAACCAGCAGCACAGTTGACAGATGGCACCACGTCCTAAGGATATTGAGATCCCCAGGAAAAAGCCAAGAGGCAAAGCCATGCGGCAGTCAGAGGCTGTGCGTGTTTTCAAACACCTCCACTGTGTGTGGAGCCCTTGGGAGAGATGTCTTTAAACAGCTTTCAAACACTGCACAACGTGTTACACAGAGGCTATTTTCTTCACTGTTACCTAATATCAACTAATAACTTTCTGGGCCCCTAAAATTTCCTGGCTGGGGGCTGTTTTTCCCCAGAACAGATTATCTGCTGATGTTCAGGCCCTTCCCCATTTAAAAACAAACTTAGAGCTGTGATTACCAATCTTTGGGCCCCAAGAGAATCCAGATACCAGGTAGCCCTCAAAAATTTTTTTAAAAAATGGAGGATTTCTGAGAGACCAACTACGAGCCAGGGGTGCACTTCTTTCCCTATGGCGCCAGGCATGCAGGGCACAGCCACCCCAAGGCACCCGACTCACGGGTCTGCGCCCTGCATCTGCCCACACCCTCGGGGCACGCCTGTGTGCTGCCCTCCGCTCCGCTGCCAAGGTGCTTAGATGCCAGCCGAGAGGTCACCTCACACTGCAGATCTCATGCCATCCTCCTGTCAGCACGAGGGCACAGCAGCTAACAGCAGAGCGTGGCTGCTGGGAGTCAGCCAGGCACTAAGCAGACGCACTCTGTGTCGGATTTCTACATCCCTGTTCCTGCAGCTGGGCTTTGGGCCCCTCTGTCATTTAACATTTCCCCAAAGCCAGTGGAACCGGGGGAACCAATTCCAGGTCCCAAACGAACCAGCAGTTTCTGTTTGTAGAACCATTTCTCCGCAAGCTTTTCCTTCAAAAGTCCCCCAACTCAAACCTCCAGAATACTTTTCCAAACATAAAAAATCCAAGAGAAAGCTGCCGAGACTGTCCCTCCAACAAGGCCAACTCCTTCCCAGGGGGGTTAAATGACCCTATCCCTGGGCTCTAGCCCCAACCCTAGCCCTAACCCTAAGCCATACGTTACATTAAGGCGATGGGTATTTACTAGACTCCAGTGATCATCAATTCTTATGCTAACTACACAGACATACCCACGGAATGATTCTCCTCCATCCTTTCTGCAGCAAAGTGCCTCAGTGTACCCACACCACCTCACCCCACTCCTCCCGGCAGACGACACTTACGGTGACAATGAAGGTGAGAACCACAAACACAAACCGGAACCAGATCTCCAGCTGGGAAAACGCAGGGTTGTATGTTTTCCACTGGAAGAGGAAACAGAAAGGCGTGTGCAGGGTGAGGAGGGACGGGACAGGTTGGAACGGGACTGGGGTCTGTGTAACCTGTGCAAGACACCAAAAATCAGATCTACACCGGAAGGGAAAATACCTATCAGAAACAGTATCCCACGGGAGGGCACAGGGAGACACACTAACCATGAGTAACCATCACTGAGGGATTTCAAATGCTTTTTCCTTTTGTTTTCTCACAATGTCGTAAAATTTTAACAAATTTTATTTCAAAATTAAAGAACAGATAAAAAATCTGGGAGGTGGTGGCACACACCTTTAATCCTAGCACTCGGGATGCAGAGGCAGGCGGATCTCTATGAGTTCAAGGCCAGCCTGGTCCACAGAGTGAGTTCCAGGATAGCCAGGGCTACACAGGGAAACCCTGTCTCAGAAAACAAACAAAAGAACAAATAAAAAAATCTGAAATACTAAAGACTTCTGGAAACGGTTTTAAGTGGTGAATCTGGCAGATAAATTATTCTATAATTATTATAAGGACATCTGAATTTTAAACTTCCTATCAAAAGTCAGCCTTGCCAATCTCTGTGTGAAAAGAAGGCAGACTTGTGTAACTTGTAGGTGTGAGAAGTATTTCCTAAAATACCTTAAGGAAAGAATATAAATATGAATCTGCAGCCCTAATAGTCACGTGGGCCGTGCTGCCTGCGTGGGCCCTGGCTTCTCCAGTTTCTATGCTGTTAAGCTATTCTTGGTTCCACAGACTTAAAAAACAGGTTTTCCAAAAGAAACCATATGAGGCACAAATGTTCCCAACCACCTAACGAGGGAGCCACAGAGGTGCTCACCGTGAAGTTCATCTCCTTGACGGGCTGGTTCAGGTGTTCAAATCCCACGGTCACTGTGTACTGTGTGTAATTCAGATAGCCAAGGTGGGCCACGATGATCTCTGCACATTTCTGAAAGAGAGGAGGTTCATGTCGCAAAGGCAAGAGGAGCGGGACCGTCCCTCCCACAAACCCCAAGTGACTCGTTCCAACAGCAGCTGAGCAGAAGGCATCATCTCGGAACTCGCCCAATGCTCAGAGAAAGGCAGATGCCAGCGGAGGACGGTTCCTAGAAAGCAGGCGCCCAGTGGGCATTTCATGACTAGCAGTGACCATCCCACTGCGGATGACGAAAGACCAGGTATCACACACGCCTGGCTCGTCTGCAAATGTGCTGCCATGCAGGGAACTCCACACTTAGTCAGCAGAGCAGGCCTCAGAGCCTGCCTGGCCTGGGCCCACCCTGCGAGGCCGTGACCATGGGCAGTCTAGGAGTACCGTGTTTTCCTCTCCTCGATTCCAGCCTTCTGTTTCCTACGGACCTCCCTCCCGCATCCCTTCCCCACAACGAAAGCCAAGGTTGCAAGCAATGACAAGCGGGTCCTGTGGATGGCAGAGTGGACACTTCACGGGCTACTGAGTCCCGCTGCACGGCAAACCCTCCCCCAGGGGGACTGTCATCGCAGCTCTGCCCCGACCCTGCCACACGACCCTCAACTACTGCTCTATCATCCAGGCGGGTGGGCAGTCTGTCTCTCTGTCTCTCTGTCTCTGTCTCTGTCTCTTTCTCTCTCTCCCCCCTCTCTCTCTCGACAAGGTTTCTCTGTGTAGCCCTGGCTACCCAGGAACATGCTCTATAGACTAGGCTGGCCACGAACTCACAGAGATCTGCACGTCTGTTTCCTGAGTGCAGGAATTAAAGGTGTGAGGCACCACTGTCCAGCTGTTAGAGATAGTTCGATAGTTCTTACAAGTAAAAGAATCCTTTGCAATTTTCATGTTGAGTTTGTGTTGTGTGTGTGTGTGTGTGTGTGTGTGTGTGTTTCATTCACGTGCACATGCCCAAAAATGTCAGAAGAGGGCATCAAAGCCCTTGGAGCTTGAGTTATGGAGGTTGTGGACCACCTGATGTGGGTGCTGAGAAGTTGGGAAGTGAACTTGGGTCTCCGGGAGATCAGTAAATGACCTAAATGACCTTCACATGAACTCTCTCTCCAGAGGCTTTTTACTTGTTTGTTTGTATGTTTTTCGAGACAGGGTGTCTCTGTGACTTTGGAGGCTGTCCTGGCACTCACTCTGTAGACCAGGCTGGCCTCGAACTCACAGAGATCCACCTGCCTCTGCCTCCTAAGTGCTGGGGTTAAAGGTGTGTGCTGCCACCATCTGGCCATCTCTCTCTCTCTCTCTCTCTCTCTCTCTCTCTCTCTCTCTCTCTCTCTCTCTCTCTCTCTCTCTCTCTCTCTCTCTGGCAGAGGCATTCTTATTAGGAGTTATAGTTCAGTTCGTATGCACTGTCACAGACGACATAGTGAAGCCATCTGAGGATTTGTAGGCCATGCCAGAGGACCAAAGCCTCCTCCCCGTGGGGTGCGGGTGGTGTTGGTTTGTTTGATAGTTAGAAGCGAAGGCTGGGGAGGTGAGACAGCGCTGGCCAAGCGTGAGGACCAGGGTCGGGATCCCAAGCAAGCATGAGGACCAGGGTCGGGATCCCAAGCAAGCATGAGGACCAGGGTCGGGATCCCAAGCAAGCATGAGGACCAGGGTCGGGATCCCAAGCAAGCATGAGGACCAGGGTCGGGATCCCAAGCAAGCATGAGGACCAGGGTCGGGATCCCAAGCAAGCGTGAGGACCAGGGTCGGGATCCCAAGCAAGCATGAGGACCAGGGTCGGGATCCCAAGCAAGCGTGAGGACCAGGGTCAGGATCCCAAGCAAGCGTGAGGACCAGGGTCGGGATCCTTGCCTCCTGCGGTTCCAGACACTGGAGGAGACGGGATCCCTAAAGCAAGGCTGCCTATGGAGACTGAGCTCTGGGCTCAAGTGGAGGACCTAACTTAATACACAAGATGCTGAATGAGTGAGGGAGACGCCCGACACCCAACCATGTGTGCAAACACACACACTTCACACATACACACAAAATAAAAAGATTTCAAAAGTGCAAGAGGGTGGCAAATATCCAAGTCACATAAAAAGACCTTGTTTTCTTGGGTTGGGACAGTTTCCTTGCAGCATAAGGAAAGTGCCTCAGGAACAGAGGGGAGATGTTCTCAAACAGTGACCAGCATAAGCCAAGCAGGGTTACCCACATGGGCAGAAAGGCCCTGCAGAGGCGCTCTGAAGGTCTACTTTGAAGATAGCTGTGACGGGCATGTCCTGGGAGCAGCCATATAGCTCAGCCCCTAGACAGCCCACTCTCCTTGAAGCCAAGAACTGAACGTCCTGTGTGCTGGGAAACCCCTCAGACAGGCCAGCCAGGGTGACCAGTCACAGTGAGCAGCTGTGTACCACTCCGTGGCCGAGGGAGATCTCACTCATTCTGGCTAGGAAGAGGTCCCTGGGACTGTCACACATGGTCCTCATTACCTGGCAATACTGACCGAGTGCCTCCTGCACAGGGACGGTACGGACACGGGGGACCCTGATCCCCCACAGACAGGAATACCTTCCAGAAATTGGCTCAGGCTGCTTGCTTAGGTGGGAAGAGGGACACAGGGTGAGGGGGTGGCTATGGTTGCTGAGGTGACAGCCACCACTGTCACAACTCCACCGGACAGAGCCCAGCCCCCAGCACAGTTCGCTCTTCTACAGCTCAGCATCCTTAGGCTGGGGTTCTGACCCTTCGAGTCAGCAGAAAGGAACCGTGAGAAGGGACCAGTCACTGCACGGGAGTCCTTCCCTGCTCGGATCCGCAGAGTCCTCACTGTCAGTAACTGAGCTTCTGGGAGGGATCAGCAGAGTCCTCACTGTCAGTAACTCAGCAGGATGTATGTATTAAAGCCACACAGCCTCCTTCCGGATAAAAGAGCTCCAGCTCAGATCCTGTCCCTCCCACTTAGTATCTGTGTCAACCTGGACAATGGCTGTGACCTCTTGAAGTCTGTTTCTTCTTTTATAAAGTAGAACCTGGTAGTAGTTTCTACCCTGTGGACCTCCTGTGAGGATTTAATGAGAGGCACACAGAATGTACCCAGTGTGAAACCCTGCAACCCACTCCAACAATCCTTGTCTAGCTGGGCCTCTAATCAACACCCAGCCTGTTCTGACCCTCACCAAGTGCTCCTGGCTGCTGTAGGGATGGGGTCTGATTCTGAACAGAGTACAGCACGGATGAGTACAGGTGCCAGAGCTCATTCTTAGGCTAGATCCCCCAGCCACACACTACATCCCACAGCAGATCCTAAAGATGTGGTTGCTGACCCCAAAGGGCCTGGGAACTCTGTCCCCCATCTACAAAGGGATCAGAGCATCCAACACCCAGCATAAACCACCTAAAGCCACCATGACCAAGACTGATCCTGAACAGCAGCAGAGGGTCGGTCACCTGAGACCCGGCCCTCCACATCGCCCACCAACAGCATCATCAGGTATCACATGGGCTCAGGGTTTGTGGCAGACTGTGTGCCTGCTGCATATGTGTGTGTGTGCGTGGGTGTGTGCGCATGGGTGTGTGCATATGTGCGTGCATATGTGTGTGCATGTGTGTGAGTTCATATGTGTGTGCAGGTGCATGGGCAGGTGCGTGCACGTGCATGTGTGCGCATGTGTGTGCATGTGTGTGCGTGTGAGTGCATATGTGTGTGCACATATGCGTGTGTGTGCATGCATATATGTGTGTTTGCAAGTGTGTGTGCGTGCACATGTGTGTGCATGCATATGTGTGTGCATGTGTGTACGTGCATGTGTGCATGCGTATGTGTGCGTGTGTGTGTGATTACATGGAATTAAACACTTCTTGTAGCAATGGTGAAGAGAGACTACAGAATGGTGGTGGTGCGTGAGGGTGGAGGTCTTTGCCAACTACACATCAGCCAGGGGATTAATATTTAGGACAAAGAACCACAAAAACTAAACACCAAAACTCAAATCACCCAATCAGTAAATGGAACTAGAGAACTGAACACACACACAGTCTCACAGGAAGAAACATAGATGATCAACGCTTCAAAAAGTGCCCAGCATCCGTAGTCAGCACGGAAATGCAAATCAAAAGTGCTTTGAGATCCACCCTGTCCCTGTCATGGTGGCTATTATTAAGAAAACAAATCCCAGCTGATGCTGGTGAGGTGGGAGTGGAAAGAGGAACCGCATTCGCTGCCGGGAGGAGTGTAAACTGCAGCCACTGCTGACATCATGCTGACATCGGTGGGAAGGGTCCTCAAAACCCGGAAGCTAGAGCTGCCGTATGCCCGAGCTGTAGCAGCCCTGGGACATGCCGGCAGGACCTAAGTCAACACACCTTCGAGACATGGCACGTCATTTTTATTGACAGAGCTGGGAAATGAAACCAACCTAGGTGTCCATCAACAGATGACGAGAGAAAGACACCGCAGCACCTACACAAAACGGGATTTTACGTAACCGGAGGGAATGGAATCAGGAGACAGTGGGCAAGACTGGAAAGCAGTGTGCCACAAAACAAGTCAGATTAAAAGGGACACGTGGCATGCTTTACATGCAAAACCAGACTTAAACTTATGTATGGGAGTTTACACATGCATATCCGTGTGCGTTGTGTGTAGGTCAGAAAAGTAGAATGAGGGTCATGAGAGGAAGCAATCTTGAGAAGTGGGAAACAGGAGACAGGACACACTGTAAAAAGGAAGAAAGAGGGTCTAACAGGGGTGGGCGGCTGGGGGAAGGGATCCAGAGTAAAGGGGCCAATGGAAGGGAACGGATGAGAATCAAGTATAAGGGCACGCGTCGGCAGACTGCATGAGGAAACCCATTATCTGCATGCTAATCTAATTACTATTTTAAAACCCACTTTTTCAGCCTTCACCGAGCTGTGCCCGCTGCTGGACAAGCAGGTCTGTGGCAGCATTTGCAGCTGACCCATGCCTAGCTGTGGAGACATCAAACACACTCACCCCTGCACACGACAGCATCCTTGTCCGGTTGTGAACCTTGTTATGAACGTATATCGTGGTTCCATCTTGAGCCACACCGTTGACTTTCACAGTCATGGAAAAGCTGGTTTTAATAGACGTTTCTACAAGAGAAAGAAATTCAGTCTCCACATTGGGTGAGACCACACCAGGCACCTCCCAGCAGCAAAGGCACCGCTGGCAGACACATAGAGACCGCCCAGGAGCACGCTAGCTAAGGCTACATAACCCCCTGCATGTTTGAAAGTCTTGCATTGTACGGCAGAGCAAAGCCTTTGCCACCTCCCAACACTGCAGAAGGTCCTGTGTTATGTTAAACCTGCATTTCTGGTCATCCATTTCACTTCACGTCAGGGTGCATGGGTAGGAAATTAACCCTTTAATTCTCACATCCTTTATATACCAGGACAGAATCAGATCTCTATTTCTGATTAAAACTAGTCTAATTATATTTTTATTATAAAAAAGAGAACAGGGCTGGTGAGACAGTTCAGCGGGTAAAGAAGCCTGCGGCTAAACCTAGCTAACCACGGCGGTCCCACACGGCGGAAGGAGAGAACCAACTCCCTGAAGTTATCCTCTGACCTACTTTCTCTCTAATGGATAAATGCAATAGATTTTTAAAGAGGGAGAGAGAACTGTTTGGAGGGATGGCTCAGTGTTTAAGAGACCTTCCTGCTTAGGACTGGAATCCAGATTCGAGCAGCTGTACAAGTGTCCCACATGTGCCTGTAACCCTAGCCCCTTGCAGAGGAGATGGGGAGCTTTCTGGCTTCCAGTGCAGCCGAGAAAACATGAGCCCCAGGTTCAGGGAGAGGTCGTGGCTCAAAAGAACAGGCAGAGGGTGATGTAAGAACACAGGATGCTGTCTTTCGGCTTCTGCACCAACACACAGGAGTGCACCTCCCCACACACAAGTACTTAAACAAATAAAAATACAAACAAAAGCTTTCCCATCCCAATAACCACAGTTAACGTTTTTCTGTCCATCTTCTTCTAGGCCATCTTCTAAACTTGCTGCTTCTTACTTCTTTTACTATGGTCAGGGGATGGTCTTTAAATTCTTTCCTGGAGTAATGCTTGTGTCAGGGCAGACTCTGTCTGCGTGTGTCAAGGCTAGTCTTTGAAATCAAAGATGTCCCAGGGCTGGGCTTCTCACCCCCCCCCCCCCGCATGCTGTACACTGTACACGACATGCTCGGGGGCAGCCCTGGCCTCTCTCCATGTCAAATTGTCCCCACACATTACCAAGTATCCCCGGGGATCAAAAGCATGCCTTGGGGCATCGGGACGTGATTCTCCCTCATCTGCACTGAGCTCAGCTGTCCACACCCTACAGAGATGCACCCTGACGCCCACTGGGGCACGGCAGAGGGGCTTCGAGACTTTCCTAGTGTCAGCCCTGGCATCTTCCTGCACATGTCTGCAGCGTGTGCCCCGGGACCGTAAGTCTTTCTGCCTCTTCAGAACGAGTTTAGACCACACACGACACGGCGCTCTAAAGACCGCCCGCATACCTTCTGAGGGCTCCAGCTCCACCACGCACGTCAGCCACAGCTGTTGGTTATATGTAGACAGCGGGTTTGAACTTATCTGAATTGGCTTTAGCTGAAGCAGAAAAACAAAGGAAGTCATCTCATGCCCTGATCACAGAATCCCTGAGCACCTCATCTTCATGTATAAAACATGTTTGTTTCTTTGTTTTGTTTTGTTTTTCCAGACAGGGTTTCTCTGTGGCTTTGGAGGCTGTCCTGGAACTCACTCTGTAGACCAGGCTGCCCTCGAACTCACAGAGATCCGCCTGCCTCTGCCTCCCGAGTGCTGGGATTAAAGGCGTGAGCCACCAACGCCCTGCTTTATAAAACACGTTTTGCACCCAGCTGGGATCATGAGCCCTGAAAGAGATGAGTGGCCTCCTTTTGCACAACACAAGAATTGGCCTCCTAAAGAAAGGGCCAGCTGCACTACCCACACCCCTGCACTACAGTGCCCACACCCCTGCACTATAGTGCTCACACCCCTGCACTACAGTGCCCACACCCCTGCACTACAGTGCTCACACCCTGCACCACAGTGCTCACACCCTGCACTACAGTCTGCATAACCATGTCTGTAGTATCGGCGGCCTGGGAATGCCGCTGGCTGATGCTTGTTACTTCTAGGGTTGGAGAAGTCCTAGCCTGCCAGCAGAGGAAAGTGAGAGGACTCTGTGACAGTGGGCACGCTGCCTCTGCAGTGACTCCTGAAAACACGGCAGTCGTGACTCATGGCAGCCGCTGCGGGGAGCCGGGGAAGACGTCTGCCTGCACTTCCAGAGCCAGCGCTGTTTAGAGGCCTCAGCTGTGGATGTCTTGTCTTGTTTTCAGGGTCTGCAGCAAACTCTCTGGTATCACACGTGTGAAAGCCATGGGGAGTGGCAGCTTTGGGGGAGGGTACTATCTTTCTGAAAGCAAGATGCTCGCACAGCCCTGGGTTCCATGGATGGCTGTTACTGCCAGAGAGGGACCCTGAGAAGAGAGGCCAGGGCTCCATGATTGTAGGTTTGCTCATGGTGGTGCCTCTCCAAGCCAGGCCCTCTGCCCCAGAGCTCAAGACAACAATGGATACGAAGAAACCTCCAAGCCTGGCCACCCAGAGGTCGCTGTAAGGCAGTAGCAACAGCTAAAGGCACAGTTTTTCTCCTTGCCCATTTCAAAACCATAAGGAGAGCCAGGCATGGCAACATATTCCTTTAATTCCAGCTCTGGGGAGGCAGAGGCAGGAGGATGTCTGTGAGTTCGAGGCCAGCCTGGTCTACACATCAAGACCCAGGCTAACTGGGGCTACAAAGTGGGACCTTAACAACAAAACAAAACAAACAAACAAAAAACCAAAATATTGTAAGAGGAGACCGTAGAGGGTAGGCAGGAGAGAGGAAGGGAGGTCAAACAACCACCCTGAAACCGCACACAGCAGTAACCGCACACAGCAGTAACCGCACACAGCAGTAACCGCACGCAGCAGTAACGCACACAGCAGTAACCGCACACAGCATGGCGCTGTGAAAACGCCGCGGCACTTGCAGTTTGCAGAGACTGGGTATGGCTGACACACAGAGACCCTGCTGTCCACTTCTCCAGCTCAAAGAGCTGGTTTCCATGAAGGTGGTGGCGATAAATCAGGGTGCATTTAAAGGGGGAGCAGACTTTCATTTACGATGAGCTCATGCAGGGGATCCCAACCAGCAAAGAGAGCAGCTGCTATGGGAACCAATGCAGAACAAGTCCTGCCTTGGACAAACACAGCGAAAAAGTCCACAGAGCGCTTCGCCTGCAAGTGTGACAGCCTGAGTTCTGCCCTGGTGGCATCCACTGGGCTGGGTGCCACACAGCTGTAATCTCTACGCTGCGGAGGCAGAGACAGGAGGATTCCTCCTGGGCTCACCGGCCAGCAGCCTAGCTGGCAAGCCCAAGTCCAGGGAGGGACTCTTACCTCAACAAACAAACAAACAAATAAATAAATAAATGAAAGGTTGTCAGCTCCTGAGGACTAAACCCTGTGGTTGACCTCTGGCCTCCACGCACATGCACACACACGTATAAACACCCAAACTAAGCTTTGTAAAGGAAGGGTCCCACGCCTCAGTATCATTGTTAAAATGTGAGTGCACCAGGATTTTCTGACATGAGCAATCAGGACAGGTTACAGCAACTGGAAGCGAGCTGTAGTTCTTTCTCTTAGAGGGAACAGCAGCGTCCTCACACCACCACCCTTCCAATGACACCCAGGTCCCCAGAAGTGGGAATTCAGATGACGAGAGCCTGACCGTGAAATGAGAACTGTGTGTTGCTCGAGCAGGGTAAGGGCAGCCGACCCTCAGACCCTCCCCGCAGGGTCACATCTCAGTGACTCCAAGTCTATAACGAACCCCTGATGCTTATGTGCCTCTTACCTTTTTGCTATTATTCAGTGAAAAATTAGCAGCGGAAGTCTGGATCACTTTGGGTCCTAAGAGTAAAAAAGAAGAGAAGGGGAAGGGATCGGGGCGGTGAGCTTACTGATTTTGTTTTAAATGCAAGAAAGACTTACATAATAGACACAAATGATCTCTTGTGCTGGTCTTTTTTTTTTTTTAAAGAGATTTTTATCTGAGTAGGTAAAATACCCAAACGAGGAATAGATGTGCGTTCTGCTGGGAGACACAACTTCCATGCACACTAGGGCAGAGTGACCAACAGGCCATGTGGGATTTCCATAGACTCCCTCCCCAAGGCTCTCCTCTCCATTGGACTCTTTCTATTGTACATGGCCCCAGTGAAACTTCACTAAGAAATGAAGCTAACGATTTCATCCAATTAACCCAGTCTTCCAGAAATATTAATCAGAAGTGACAAAGTGACAGATACCCTAGCATAAGCTTCTTGAAATAGATGCTTTATTAAGTTCTTTCTTCCCCAACCTTACTGCGATTAAAGCACACAAAGAACTTACTACTTTAAGCATTTAAGAGTGCAATTCAGCAGGATCAAGCAGTGTGCAGACATGGCCATCCGTCTCTGTAACGCTTCCTGTAAAACCCAGTCTGCCCCAGCAGCCGCCGTGGCACTCCACCCTCTCTGCCCTGGGAACCCTCTGCGTGTACCTTGGGTGGATGGAATCACACAGGGTTTATCTGTTTGTGACTGGTCCTCTGCTGCAATGTGTCTAAACTGTCTAATTTTTTCCTTTTTACAATTTGTGTGTATGTGTGCCACAGTGTGCACACAGAGATCAGATGACAACTCAAGGTAGTTGGTGCCACTGGTTGTGTGACAGTTTCCAGCAGGGCATCTCTTTAAACAGAAAGGTGAACAACTCAAACAGCTTTAGGAAGTCCCTGAAACTAGCCAGATTCACTAGGCCCCGCCCCGCCAGAGTCAGAAAAAAAAAAAAAAGCCAAGTCCTCAGAGGAAGGGAAGCTGAGGTAAGAAGAGGCCAGCGAGGAGAACAGCTGCAGAGTCTGAGGCTGTGCAGTGTGCTCCAAGTTTCTCACTTTTTCATGACGCTGCCTTTGCTTATTTAGAAATCACAGGGAGAATGTGCTAATCATCGGATATTATTTAGAAATCACAGGGAGCATGTGCTAATCACCTGATATCATTTGTGTGGAATATTTGTTCTACCTTTTCTCTCCAACCCATCTGTTGTCTTTGGTTGGACAAGAAGGCTTCTATAGACGAAATACAGTCTGTGTCATATCTGTGTATGCAATCATATGTGTGCTTGTACGCACGTGTCATGGAGCATATGTGGTGTGTGTACACACAGAGGGGAGGTGCATATATCTATGAACATGTGTGTGTGTGCAGAGGCCAGAGAAGAGCGTCTCATGTCCGTCTCATGTCCTCCTCTGTCACACTTGACATTAGTCCTCTGAGGCAGGGTCTGCCTGAACCTGGAACTCACACTTTTCAGCTAGGATGGAAGCCAGCGGCCCCAGGGATCCTGTCTCCATCTCCCCACCCCCCACAGTGCTGGGGCTGCAGGTACACACTGGGATTTGAACTCAGCAAGCATTCTTAACCTCTGAGCCATCTCTCCGGGCCCTCATGCTATGTTTTAAACTATTCTACCTACTTCTGCCTTTTAAATGGAGAATTTAATCAACATACATTCAGTTACTGGTTAGGAGAGCTCAATTCTGCTTCCTCTAAGTCTCTGTTTACTATGCATTTGCTTCCCGTTAGTCTCACAGCTTTTTGTTCTTCGATTAACACCCATGAGTTGTATTCTGATTGGAGTTTATAACAGTTTAATATGGACGATACACAAAAACTCTTTTATCTTTTGACAACTGTGACAACACCATCTTTAGGAACACACACGCATATTGCACATTATGGAGAGGGGCATGCTGAGGCTCAAACCCATGGCCCTGAACATGCTAGGTAGTCAAATACTCTCTCACTGAGCTGCATTTACAGTTTTTGTTATTTTATATCCCAAGCATTAAAACACTGTTAATGACGTAGTCTCTTACGAAGGAAACAAGGTGTGGTCTTGCAAACTCACAGTAAGAGCAGCTTTTATATTGTGCACTTTTAAATGCCAGCCTCCAATACAGAAAACGGAAAGTGGCGTTCACACTGACGTGGGAATAACGTGAGCTTTTACAATTCAACAGTCACCTTTGCTGGACTACATGTGTTCCAACCTGCAGGCTCCCTTCCAGCAACCTGCAGCACAGAGCTGCTGGCAGCCACGCCCTCAGCCGTAGTTTGCCTGGGAATGTCCTACTCCGGCTCCCACATTTCCATCTAGAGACCCGGTCTCACTACGTAGCCTCGACTGACCAAGACCACACGATCCATCCTCCGATCCCAGACATCCAAGTTCCGGAAACACGGGCATGCGTCACCACACTCGGCCTCTCCCCCTCACTTTTGAAGAACATTTTTGCCAGGCGGGGTTCCTGGTTGAGAACTCTTTCAGCCTTTTGAATACATCGGTCTGTCTTTCTCCCCCAAACAGTTTAGGCAAGAGCTGGCAGTCTCACTGGGGACCCTCTGTCTGCAGTGAGTCCCCAGGGTTCCATCTGGTTCAGGCTCCCTACATAGTTCAGTTGCAGTGTCTTGGTATGAGACTAAATTTAGCCCCCTTGAGCTCATTAAGCTTTCTGGATATATATTTTTTCACTGTTCATCAAATTGGGAGCTATTCTCCCTGCCTCTTCTCCTGAGACTCCCACAATGTGTGTATCTCTCTACTTGATGGTGGCCCCGAGCCCCCAGAGGCTCTGCTTATTATCGCGATCATTTTCTGATCTGCTCCTCAGAATCACCGTGCCCGCCACCCTACCCTAGGTCTACAGACGCTTCGCTTTGCTGTACTGATCTGCTTTTTCCTTTCTGTGGAGTGCTCAATTCAACTATGGGCCCTTTTAGCTCCAGAATTTCCTTTTGGTCTCTCTCCCTTTCCTGGCGTTCCCACCATGCACTGCCCTCTGGCTCCTCCACATGGTCCTCTTATTCTTTAAGACAGCTATCACAGCCCTTGAGTAGATCTGTCATGGGGTTTCAGGGACAGTCTTCATGTATTTACATTTTTTCTTTTGATAGGCATACTTTATTATTTCTTAGTTGGCTTTGTCTTTAAATATAATACTGTGGTGCCCGGAAGTCAAGGCCTTCCCCACTCCCAGAGGTTGCATTTTTGGCCTGGTTGGCTGTTGCTACTGTGGACTTGCTGAAGAGCAGCTATCAGTGTTAACTTAAGGTCTTCTTGGGTTTGTCTTCTTGGCGACTGCATAATTCCCACCGATTATGCTGCTGAACGTTTGGTTCCCAAGGGGAAGAAAGGAGCTCCAGGAAGCGGGAGGAGGAGGGCTAGCTCTTTAACTCCCTGGGTGTTGCCTCTGCTGGATGGGGTAGGAGTACAACAATGCTGGTCCCGGGCACATCAGCAATGGCTGCGTTCCCTGCTACGCCTGTGACCAGAAGCAGCAACTGAGGAGCAGAGCTCAGGTCTCCAGTTAGGGAGGACCGAGTCCCTCTGTTCACTTTGGTTCCCACAAGCTACGTGCAGACCCATTCAGAGCCTGAACCAAGATGCCTGCTTTAGAGCCAGCACGGGAATGAGAGGCTGCCACAGCACTCCCTCAGGGCCATAGTGGCTAAAATCAGTCACAGTCTCGTGCCCAGCTGCCACCCCAGGAGTTACAAACCTCCAGTTGACCCCAGGATCCCAAAGTAGCTCACTAGCAAGGTTGCACTACTACGGCTGGTCTACGTGTGGAAGAACATTCCTTTCCACACTACCATCTTCCCAGAACCCTTAGCATCTCTGATTCTTACTGAGTCATCTGTCAGGGCTTTGTCTTTCAGTGATTTTAAAATTACTTTACAGCTGGATTTGTCTAAAACATATTATTCTTGCCAAGTATGGTGGCATATGCCTTTAAACTCAGCACTTGGGAGGCAGGGGCAGTTGGCTCACTATGAATTCACATCAGCCTGGTGTACATAGCAAGTTTTGGGCTAGCCTGGCCTACACAGCGAGACTCTAGCTGCCCCAGCCTGCTGCCAACAGTCCGGTTATAGTTAGGGTGTGTACCTTAACCAGCACAACTTCCTGCCTTGGAGCCACAGCAAATGCTGCAAGGCTGTCTCCATGTAGGAAGAGGGCCACTGTGCAGCAAGACTCCTAAGACCAGTGGACTCTTATTCTGGCTTCTGGGAAAGCCTTGAGAACCAACACCTGGACTCTCGTTAACCAGGCACTCTGGGCCTCAGTTTCCACATCTGCAGGATAAAACAGTAACACAATGGTCGCTAAACCCCCCTCTCCCCAACTCTTCACCAGAAGAGAGCAGAGTGCTAACAACAGCTACTTTCATGTGTTAATCTGGGCAGGGGTGAGGTGGGGGGCACAGAGTGTTTGATTAAACACTGCTCTCACATGACTGTGAGGACTTCCTGGGTAAGATTCATGCTGCAGCCACAAGTCTGAATAAAGCAGAATGCCCTACTCAGGGAAGGCGGGCCTCCTCAACGTGCTGAGGTCTGAATAGACACACTAAGGAGAATCTGGTCTCTCGGTCTCCAGTAGTAACCTGAGTGTCACCATGACACTCAGGCCTGGACTGGGGCTCACACCGCTCACCTCTTGGTTCCCAAGCCCCTGGACCCCGACTGATGCACTGGTTCTGTTGGTTCCCACTTGCTGACTATAGACCCGTGGATTCCTTAACTCCAGAATTGTGTGAGTCAGTTCCCTTACTTTAGATATAAAAATAATATCACACATTATATAATTATACAGTATATACCACACCTCATAGTTATATTACATACTTAGATCTAATACTATTAATAATTATTTATATTATAAATCGTTTATACCTTGATATAAATACAATTGTTTATATTTACAAATATACTATGTATTATAATTGTATGCAGTAATGAGATCTAATTATAATAATATAATGGGTACACATACACACACGCACACACACGTATTCCTTATTGTTTGTTTTTCCAGAAGATTGACAGTCATCTGAGTGAAGAGAGAAAGTGCCGGGAGCCTGACATAAGCCCTGTCTTGGCCTCGGGCATCAATTGTCATCTTGCTTTCAGAGCCAAGGCTGGGTACAACCATGTTGTTTGAGGCAGAGTGGCTCGAGGAAGCAAAAGCTGGCGTCTATCCCACGGAGCTGCTGCAAAATTAGTGCCTCCTCTACCAACAGGAGAGGCCAGTTTGAAACGGAGATAATGGGCAAGCCCTGTATCATGACTAATATAACTTTAATCCTTGGGGATTTAACAGGAAGGGGGAGTCGCCTATAGTTGCTATGGTCACAACAGTGTCATTTTCATTACCACAAGGTACAAAGCATCCCAGTGGCCACCCTCTAGGCACCCAGCAGTCTAAACTTCAGTTGAGATTAAGACACCAGCTTTCTGAGGCCCAGATATCTCTGGGATATAACTAAGCCTTACTGCTGCTCACACTCAGTGCTAAGCTTATCCGTCACTGATAACAGCTACCACAACTACCCTCAGTGAACGAGCTATCTTACTTTAGAAGAAAAAGAAACAGGGGAGTACTGCCTCGCCAAGGCTGACTTCCTGCTGCCCATGTTGGAGATAAGACAGAGGACGGGGACCCCAGCCTCTGAAGCCTTGTAAGGACCACTTGGCTTCTGTGGCTCTGATTCATGACTATTAAAAAGGAAGTTGGGGGTGGGGCGGGGAAACGGCTCAGTGGGCAAAGAGCATGAGGACTGAAGTAGCTGCTGAGCGGTACAAAGGCCTGCTGTAATCTCAGGGCTCAGAGGGCGGAGACGGTCCCCAAAGCAAGCTGTGGGGTTAAGTGAGAGAGCCTGCCTCATCGTGTAAGGTGGCAAGTAACAGAAGAAGATATCAACATCTGGATATATACACACACACACACAGACAGACACACACACACACACACACACACAGACAGACAGACAGACAGACAGACAGACAGACACACACACACACACACACACACACACACACACACACACACGAGACAAAAACAAGACAGGTCAGCCTTCCTAGAGGTCAAAGATTAAAAATCACTAAGATGTGGTTCCTCTGCTAGGACAGTTTCTACTGCCTGGTGCTCTTCACACAGTCCAACCCCCTACACCCCGAGTCCTAGTAACCCAGACTTTTACATGGTCTGTCTCCCCCTTAGTCAGTGAGCTCTGGATCTCCCAGCACACAAAATGACTCTAGAAATGTTTGGGTGGGCTACCATAGCAAGTTCAAAGCCAGTTTGGTTTATTTTGAAAACAGGAGAAGGGGGGGGAGGAGGAGGAGGAGGAGGGGGAGGAGGAGGAGGAAGAGGAGGAGGGGGAGGAGGAGGAGGGGGAGGAGGAGGAGATTCTGTGGCAAATAAAGGCAGGCAGTAGAATCTGACCCAGGCTGTTTGCCTGACTGTGGAGGACGGCATGCCTACATTACCCGACGTGCCTGCAGTACCTCCTGAGAAGTCAAGGTTCAGGGCTTGACCACCTTCTGCCCTGTGGGCTCAGAGAGAAGGCTCATTTCTCTTCAGACTGAGGCCTGGCTGGAGTAAGAGGGCCCAGCTGGATGACAGCACCAAATCAGTGTTGCTGTAAGTGGAAAAACGCTTAAAAGACAGACTTACCCTTGATCCCAACGAAGACGGTCAGTCCGAAACAGAGGAAGAAAACAACAAACACGAGGACAAAGTGGCGCTTGGAGAGGGTGTAGAGCCGCATGGGTGCGAGCCTGTGGAGTGGAAGCCAGAGTGAGGACGGTCAGGTCTCCCCAGGCCTCCCCGGGCCTCCCCACGTCTCCCCAGGCCAGCACCACTAGCTACATGGGGCCGTCAGGTCTCCCCAGGCCAGCACCCCACTAACTACATGGGGCCGTCAGGTCTACCCAGGCCTCCCCAGGCCAGCACCACTAGCTACACGGGGCTGGCTTCTCAGCCTAGGGCAGCCTCCGAAGCACAGTGCTCTAGAACCACCCCTTACTGAACAGTCCGAATGGCCCTCGTGCCCTCTCATGAGAGGACCAACTGCATGCTTCACCAGAGCACTGCCACTCTGGCCTGCCTAATGCAGACCAAACTCAGCTCTTGTCGTTGGAGAATGAATGGACTGTTGTTCCCATGCCAAGGAGAAATGTCACCATGCCACAGGAGCGACCTAACCTAAAACATAGGCCACTTCTAGCTGCCAGGGTAGAGTCACAGCTCAGACCGACAAGGAGCCCCACTTGGCCGTCAGCCATGACTGCCACGCCCAGACTGAGAATACCAGGGACCAGAGGCACTGGCCATTTCCATCTGGTCTACCTCATGCTCAGAGTCCCTCAGACTTCTGCTGGAAGCAGAATACCACAGGTAAACGCTCAGCACTCCATGTAGCATACTAGGCAGGCACACCAAAGGAGTCTCCCAGTACCCTCAGCTTTGCAAAACGCTGGCAATCTGTAGACACAAAGCTTGGCCTCCAGAGTGGCTGCACGCGGACAGGGGCGTGGCCTGCAGAGCCAGGGTAAGGTCACCGGCTGGTGCTCACACCCCTTCCTTCCACATGTGCCTGAGACTCCAGGTGGCAGGAAGTCAGTCAACCACGGGGCTGGGGCTGGGGCTGGGCAGACTCAGGGCAAACACAGGTGAAGCCTGGGAGCCACTGACGTGGCTCTGCTGACTAAGCAGTGCCCGTGCGGCCACCTGGGGGGCCTGGCTGACTTTCAGGGCACCGTCCATGCATTTGTGAAAGACACAGTGAAGCCTGGGACTCTGGCCCCAACAGGGACCCATAAGCCACCTGTTGATAGGACAGGAAAAGCTGTGAAGCCATAGGGTGCTGCTGGCTTAGAGGAGGGGCCCCGAGGGGCTCGAGTATCAGACACAACCGGCCTCTGGGAAGGAGTCGGATTTCTCCGTAAAGCAGAGCTCTCCCCAAAAGGGCATAAGAGAGAGCATTCTGAGTTAAACATGAGTGACCATGGCCCAGGTACATGGATTCATATTACTTTGATGATAACTTCCACCGTGCAAGTGGTTACATCAGCTTTTATCAATCAATACATGTAGCAGACACATTAGTGGGCGGGTGATGGGAAAATGGGCGTCTCTGCTGTATGCTTCAGGTGCTGTCTGATGGTGTGCTTAGCTTTGGGACTGGTGGGACCTAGTGGCTGTGTCTTAGTCAGGGTGACGGTTGCCGTGATGAAACACCATGACCAAAGCAACGTGGGAGGCAAGGGTTCATGTGGCTCGCACGTCCACAGCTCCGCTCATCATCAGAGGAAGCCAGGGCGGGGGCCTGCAGGCAGGAGCTGATGCAGAGGTCATGGAGGGCGCTGCTACCTGCCTTGCTCCTCACAGCTTGCTCAGCCTGCTTTCTTACAGAACCCAGGGCCACCTGTCCAGGGATGGCTCCACCCACAACAGCCTGGGCCCTCCCACATTGATCACTAATTAAGAAAATGTCCCACAGGCTTGCCTGCAGCCCGATGTGATGGAGGCGTTTTTTCCCAGCTGGGGTTCCCTTTGCTCTGATGACTCTAAGTTGTGTCGGGTTGGCATAAAGCAGCCGGTACAGCCTGTTACTACGTGGCAAAGGTTTCACCTGACGGCAGGAAGGATGTTGGAACGAACACAGAGGTGGGTGGTAGGTAGCTGGCGAATGGGAGCTGTGATGGTGACCCTGGCTCTCAGTCACCCTGCGGCCCTCCAGGCCCACCGTCATCTCACAAAATCTTCAGCACGGGTGTGGCTTTTCCAGGCTCACACCTCGGGTTTACAGATAGGGAAGCTGAGACCCAGAGGTGACAGACCTACCCAGCTTGTCATAGCCATGCTGTCTGGCAGCCCCTGTGGCTTCCCTGGAGGGAAGCTTCTCACCCTCCAGCCTGCAGGACTCAGGCTGGATCCTCTGCTCCTGGATCTCCCTTCACCTTTGCTGCCTTGGGAAACAGGACCCAGTTACTGCCCATCTGAAAGGGCCCTGTGGAATGTGAGTCCTGGCAGAAGAGCAAGTGTCCCTCTTGTCCCTCTCTGTGACCCGGGTTTATTTATTTACACAGTGTGTTTGGACATGCTTTTGTTTTAATACTGAAAGGGGGGATGGTTTCTAGGCAACTGCATAGGGCATTTCCATGTAGAAATCACAAGGCTAAATGGACTGGGTGCTGGAAACAGTGCAAACAGAGTTAGCTCACAGTATCTCACAGTGTTAATGATGCCAACGGAAACAAGTGTGCCAGGTCACATGACACGCACGGACCAGGGGAGGCTGGAGGAGAGTGTGCAGGGACAGTGTCGTCTTTGCTACTGTCCTACGAATTGAAAGTGGCTTTCAGAAATCTCAGAACCATCTGTCAACTACGACCGCACTGTGTTCAGCGTGAACCTGATCCTCCTGCTCGTAGATCAGAGACCAAGCTAATGCTGATCCTGCTCGTAGATCAGAGACCAAGCTAATGCAGAGCTCGCTGGGCAAAGGCTAAAGCAGAGGCCCAGTCGGAGGCAGAGAAACCAAAGCAAGATTAGATTTGAAACCTGGAGTTAAAAATGCACCCCTTGGCCAAGCATCGTGGCGCACGCCTTAAATCGCAGCCCTCAGGAGGCAGAGGCAGGTGGATCTCTCTAGGTTCGAGGCTGAACTACATAGCAGGCATGAGGACAGACCCCGCAAACAAGCAAACAAGTGTACCACCGACATCCTCAATGCGTGGTTACTTAGCAGGTGAGAAAGGGGCAGGACAAGAAGACGTTGACAAGGGCCTGATGACACAGGAGGCTAAGTCACTTTTCACAAGCAGTCAGATGCTCCCTAAGGCTATGCCCATCCTCCCCCCAGATCCCAGTCAAACAGAATTAAAAAAGAAACTCGAAGTGCTAAGTCAGGCAGGCACGGAAGGCCCCTATCTCGCAGCATCTGAACGTGCGTTGACTCAGCTATAGGGATCCCTGCCAGCAGGCCTTGCCCTGCCCACTGCCACTGACTCATTAACCAGTGCCAGCTCCCAGGTACCCCTCTGCCTTGAGAGAGGCCGGCCACTACTGGAAGAGCAGGCCACCTTCCAGGGTCTCAGGGTTTTTACTGAAAGTGACCAAGTAGTCACTCTCATCTCCACCCCACCCCCAGCCCGGAGCTGTCTGCTGCTGGAAGTGCGTGCCCTGTGCGTGATAAACGTATGATTCCAGTCTCTGCTTTCTCTGCCCTGGTCAAATGGGTTCTTCCTTTGGGTTCTACTACATTTGCTGCTATGATGAACAAACAACTACTGTAGATGTAACTGTCTTCTCCCTAGGTCGCCTTTAGCGGCATCTGGTGGTTTTGTCTTCTACACTGCAGGCGGGCAACTTTGGTCCAAAGGCCATCAGACTAATACCCACACAGTCCTCCAGGATCATGATGCTCACCAGGCACACGGAGCATCCTGGCTTGGCCAACTGGAAAGTCCAGTGCCCACTGGCCTGGCTGAGTGGCTCCACGTCCCTGTCACCACCATTGTGTCCACTAAGCACTTCTGTCTCCCATCCAGGCCCCTCATAGCCCATAAAACAGTGGGCAGAGAGGACAGGAGACAGGAACAGGCTGTAAGTCAACGACAAGGCCGGACTCAGCTGCATGGACTACGAGAGAGAGAGAGAGAGAGAGAGAGAGAGAGAGAGAGAGAGAGAGAGAGAGAGAGAGAGAGAGAGAGAGAGAGAGCGCTCCTCACGGTGCTGGCTTTACCGCTGTGGGATATTTAACTGTGTGTTACGTGTGTTTGTGCTGTATCTGTTTCACCTTGCCTGCCCAAGGCGCCCGAATGGTTCAATAAAAACCTGGGTGTCCGGTAGCTAGGCAGGAGCGGCAGAGAGAATGAGTAGGAGGAGAAATCTAGGCAAAAGAGAGAAGAATAAAATAAAGGAGAAAGAGAAGGACATGCCCAGGACCAGAAGCCAGGCAGCCTCTGGCCAGACACAAGAAGCAGTGATAGTAAGATGTACAGAAGGAAAGAAAGGTAAAAACCCCAGAGGCAAAAATGTAGACGGAGGGAAACAGGCTAAGTTATAAAAGCTAGAAAGAAACGAGCCTAAGCTAAGGCCAAGCACTCAATACTAATAATAAATCTCCGTGTCACAATCTGGGAGTTGGTTGGTGGCCCAAAAGAAAGCCTGCCACACTATACGAAGAGGGAAAACCCATCACCACCTTTACAGACCCCAGAGCATCACCTGAAAGAAAGCCAGTGGACTCCCAAGATTTCTCTCTTCAAGCTGCTAGAATGGTGGGGAAGACTACAAGGCTGGGGGGGGGGTGGCTTGGGTGGTAAAGCACCTGCCACACAACCATGAGACCAACAGAAATCCACACACGGCACACACCTGGAATCCCAGCACTGGAGAGGCAGACTTCGGTAAATTTCTGACACCATCCTAGTCAAATCTGTGAGCTGCAGATTCAGTGAGAAAGACCATCTCCAAAGGTAAAGGGTGGAGAGTGGCTGAGGGAGACAGCCAGGCTTGACCTGCAGCCTCCACTCGAGCGAGCGCCTGTGCAGGCAGACACGCGCTCGTATAGAGACCAGAGACTGGAAAGAGTACACAGGACTACCGGTTGGCTACTTGGCCAAACGATGCCCAGATTCCCCACTTCAGTAGGATCTATCACCCCACTTCCATTTTAGTGGAGTCCATTTTCCCCCCCCAATCGGCATAAAAGCAATCTCTCCTTTGGTTCAAGGTACTGGCTTGGTGCCCTCAAGCCTGGATTCGCACTTTCTACCATGCGAGTGACATTTTCTCCCTCTTGGGATAGGGGTAAGTGGAGTGCTTGGAAGGCTGTTTTCCAGGTTGTGGAATTATCGAACAAAGGTTTTAGAGTAATGTAATGAAAAACCTAACACGATAACCAGTCGCATTAGTTATCAGTTGTGCCTTTGTTTCTCTGCTAGTGGGGGGCATTTCTTTTGCTTTCTTATAATTTATCTATTTTTTTTCCCTCATGTAGCCCTGGCTGACCTGGAGCTTGCTATGTATAACTCTGTGACCTCAACTCAGGGATCCACCTGCCTCTCTCTTCCTGGTCTACCCTGCCCTACAACTTAGTTCATTTTTCAAGCAGGATTTTAACTGGCTGTCCAGGCTAGGCTCAAACACCTGGGTTTAAGAGATCCTCTCGCCTTAGCCTCCCTGTCACTACCAGAACCCCAGCAAAGATTCGTCATGCCCAGATTCTCTCCTCATTTTTGAAAAACCAAAATTTCGACCCTGGCACAGATAACTCTGAAAGTCGTGCCTCCCCCCGCCATGAGAGGACAAACTGGCATTTCCTGTGTACCTGGGGAACAGGCATCAGCAGGCCGCTCAGTATAGGGAGAAGTGGGGGGGTGGGATTGGGCAGCAGGAGGTGGAGGCAGCATCTGAACCCACAACACGCATGGCATGACACGGGCTAGCTAGCTTTGGGAAGGGGCCACCACCTCCTCACACTGGTCCCTTACCATTGTCATCTCCTTAAATACCCGATACTTGACAGGAAACGCCAGGGGGCAACCTGAAGGCGGAAGCTCCAATCGGCTAAGTGGAACAGACTGCAAATCACCGAGCAGACTTCCAAAGGGGCAGCATGAGGCCATTCAAGGCCTAACAACCGTACACATTTTAGCAAAAGAAAATGGAGCATGAGTTTGAGTTCGTTCTTCCTGGGCCACAAGCCCAGTGGCTCGCACCCAGATACATGCTGGCCAGGTCACCGAACACCCTCCCAAGTCAAACAGCAGCAGGAGGAGGAAGAGGAAGGTCAGACAGGGATCACACAGATAGGGCAGTGCCAGGTTGTACAGCCCAGAACTCAGGCAGGAAGGCCCCTCCACCATGGGTCAGCAGGGTGACCTGGGGCGATCGCTCTGTCTGCCTCTCTGCAATGCGGGGCCCCTAAACTGTAGCATCCAGGAAAACAGGCGCCCAAAGTTGCCAGGAGGATGAAGCACATTGGCTGCCATCTGCTGTCAAGAGTGCGGGCTCTGGAATCTGGCTATGGAAGCGACCATCTCAAGGAGACCTAAGGGGTTATGTGCGGACACTCGCTGGCTCCTATACACCTGTTTCCCTTATTTGTGGCTTGGAGTAATATGAGTAACTCCCCTTCAGGAGGGTAGTGGTGAGAAAGCTCATAAAACAATGGGTGTAAAGTAACCCAGCAGGGGCTGGCCAGGAGCCTCTGGAGTTAAGAGTGCTATCCTTCCTCAGGACCTCCATTTGGATCCCAGCACCCACATCCCGTCACAAGCACTTGTAACCCGAGTTCTAGGGAGCCCAACATCTTCCTCTGGCCTTTTGGGGGCACCAGTACACACATGGCATATACTCGCACATAAATAAAACAGAGTTTTAAAGGGGATACAATCGTCTCTACCACACAGTTAACATTCAAGTTTTCTTTAATTTTTTTTTAGACATCATTTTCATTCAGAAAAAAAAATTACCCAAGAGACACACACCACTCTCATCCTCTTGCCTATCATAGCCTAAGGCCTGCCTCCCAGGCCGACAAACCCTTAACAAAGCTGCAGTTTGCAACAGTTCCCGGTGACCTCCCCGAGTTATGGCTTTCCTCTGGTCCAGTTTCTTGTCCTGCAACACAGTGTAGACTCCTGGGTCTCAGACCTGGTCAAGGCCCACTGTCCCACATCCTCTGCCTGCCCCCCCACCCTGCCCCGGTGATGGGGTACTGCCAAACATATCCAGGCTTGGGAAAACACCCCCTGAAGCATGCAGCTGCCCCTCTGCTACAGAGCCGGAACCCCTGGAGAAGGCACCATTCCCAAGAGGCGAGAAAGCCCACCCTGGAGCGCTGCCCTGCAAGCTGTGCAGAGACCGGGCGCTAACTCACCTCCAGCTGGCCTCTAATTCACCCGAGTCAGGGTTTCCTCCATGGGCTGAAGTGACCCAAGTCAAACTTCTAAGGAAGGTGGGGGAGAGACCTCTTTCCACCGTGGACTCTTGCATCGAGAAAACGCTTCCCGAGTTACCCTGCTGCCTCCAGAACCCCGAAAGAGCCTCAGAATGGCATCCGGTCGCCCGAGGCCACCTTTCAACCTCCACGCTGCCCCCGACTCCGGGCACTCCTTCACCGCTACTTGGGTGCACACCCAGGCGACAGCTGCGTCAACAGCAGCTTTAGGGACGGCGTCCCTGGGGTTCGGGTTTTCCTCGTTAAAAATCTCCCGCACTTCACAGAGCGACTCGGGCCCCAAGTCAGCAGACTGTAAAACTCGTATAAAACTCAGCAGCCGAGAGATCTAACGAGGCTGTGCCAGCCCCGGCGTGCCCACGTCACCAAACGCCACCGAGAAGCGCGTCTGGGGCAGCCGAGGACCCCGATCGCAGCTGGCGGGGGAGGTTCCAGCTCCAGCGGGCGGGCGCGCCAGCCGGGGCACCCTCACCGACCCTGGACGCGGAGCAGCTACGGGCCAGCCCTCTCCGCGGGTCCCCGTGAGACCCATGAGACCCGCTCGCCCGGAGCCCCGCGGCGCGCACGAGCCGGGGACCCTAACTTCAGGTCCCCCGGGGACCCCACGCCCGAGCCACGGCCCGTCACTTACGGTTCCATCTCGGAGCCCCGGGCCCCCGGCCCCCGCCGGCGCGTCCCGAGCCCGCCCGGCGTCCCGCAGCCTCCGCAGCCGCAGCCCGAGCCACCCGCGAGGCCGAGCAGCCGGCCGCGGAAAACGCATCAGAGCGCGACGCGCAGTCACGTGCGCGGAAGCGGCGGGCGGGCCGGCGGGCGAGCAGGGCGGAGCGGCTTCCCGCAGCACTCGCGCCCGACACCTGTCACGTGGGTGATCCTCGCCGGGAAGCCCACCTCCGAGGCCGAAAGCCACCCAAGGGCACGGACCCCAGAGGCCCTGTCCAAGTCCCCAGACGTTCGTCACGGCTGTTTCGTCTTTTCTTCGTCTCCGAAGGAGAGGGGGAAGTAAGCAAGGAGCTGTTAGCATCTCTCTAAAGTTTGCTACTGTGTGAAGGTGTTAACATGTGCCAGGACCTTGTGTCTCTCTAGCAACCATGAAAACCAACGCCCAATCCAGGAGCTGAGGGAGACCAGCATTCCCAATGCGGCTTCTCACCCTCCAGCCTGCAGGACTCAGGCCAGCTCCTCTGCCTCCTGTGTCTCCCTTCACCTTTGCTGCCTTGGGTGACGCAGGAGTTTGCACCCATCAGTCCCAGTCTATCAGGGTGAAACCCACTCCCCACTTTTTATGTGCCCCACGCTCTCCAAGATTTGACAGCCTCGCACGGAAGGCACTGTGCACGCGAGCATTCGCCAATCGATTCACGGGGATTTGCTGACTGACTGGAACTCTACCAGTCTGCCTAGAAATTGGGAGAACGGGGAAGCCTTCTCGAAATGGAATCAGAGACGAGGAAGGCAGGGTCCAGTGAGTGCCCTCACCTTCTGACTGTGGTGAGCTGGTGTCTCTGCTTGACCCGAGACTTTTCATAGTACAAACACTGAAAGTGCCACACATAGGGGAAAAGGGCCAGCCAAAGAAACACATCCTGAGCAGAGCCAAAAGCAAACAAACAAACAAACAAACAAACAAAAAACCAAACACTTTGGCCCTGCAACCAGAACCAAAGAAACGCACCCTGACCCTGAAACCAGTGCCAAGGAACACACTTTGTCCCTGGAATCTGAGCCAGTGAAAGAAATACACCCTAGTCCTAAAACTAGAGCCAAACGGCTAAAAAGAACCAGTGAAACCAGAGCCAAATCTGACCCTAAACCAGTGCAGAAAACCAACCAATCCCTGAGCATGAGATCTAGCCAATCCAAGCTCAGGGATTTGAAATCTGACCAATCCCTACCCTGGAAAAACTCCGCCCCCACAGCTTGTGGCTGTGGTGCTGCCCGGCTGTCGTCTACCTTCCTGGCAGAGGGCAGCCACTCTCCTGGATTCAATCTCTTGAATGAGCTTTGGGTGAGACCTTTCCTTAGCTGGAATGGAGCCATGGAGCAGAGGAGAGAAGTAGCAACTTTTCCAGGAGCCAGAACAGAGAGGAGCCAGCTGAGCAGAGCCACAACGCCCCCCCCCACACCTGCGTGGAACTGTAACAGCCTCACTGGGGAAACCCTCTCCTGCCAGAGCAGAGCTGTTACACTGGAGAAACCTACCTTACTGTGATCTGTGGTGTATTCTGCCACCCCTCAGATGCAGGCAAAGCATGAGAGCAAGTCACAGCCTGGGCACCGCCTGGCTTTTATTGTTGTGGGCTGTTTCTGTGAGTTACCAGGAAAACCTGTCTTAACATTAAAAAAAAATATATATATACATATATATATATATATCCTTAGTTTGGTTCCGTCAAGAGCAGAGCTAGGGACAGCAGTCTCCGTGTTAACTCCATCAAGAACAGGGACTTGGAGAGATGACAGAGGGAGGGAGGCAGAGTGCACGGGGAGGGTCTGAGGTGGCTGGAAACCTCACCACGCATAGCTGATTGGCCTACAGGATAGTGCCAGAGAAACCGCCAGAAACAGAGTCCAGAAGACACCATCTCTCGCCTGGTCCTATCACCTGTGGCCCATGGACCAAGGTTTTGCCTACACATCCGGTATGACTGCTCGTCCCAGGCAAACAACCTAGGGCCAGTGCCTGTAGGTACCAGGGAGCCTTCGAGAGACTAGTGACCCTCCCTTGTCAGCACTAGTGAGTGGGCCAGGATCCGTGGTGGCAGAGGCTGGAACCATGTGCGCTCCCACCAGGACAAGGGAAGCAGAGTGGTATGAGGACCAAGGGGGGAAGCCAAAGCAGGGGTAGCATGAGTTTGGATGCGGCCAGGTCTGGGAAACTGGCCGAGGGGACCCTGCACTAAGAAATGGAGGTTGCTATGGAAACACTAAATGAGACATCTGGGGATGACTTGAGCAGTCCTTCGGGGCTTTCTTGAGGCTCCAGCTGAAGGTGGTGACCTTGTCTCCGAGGCAACCTCAGTGAGAGCCTTCCTGAGGGTGGGTTCCTCCAGCAGAGCAGGCAACCTGAGCACGTGCAGGGGGATCCTAGTACTGATCCAGGATTGGGGGCGATGGAACAAAGGGGGCAGATGGGCAGATTAGCTCAGGACAGCGGGTCACAAAATGTGCTGAAGCGAGACCACTTGGGGAGCTTTAAGAAACCTCAACCCAGCTAAAGGAGGTCTGAAGTGCAGCTTGGGATGGGTGCTTTGTAGGGCCCCTCCCCCAACTCTTCCTGGATGCCAGCAGCATCTCTCAGCTCTGGTTCTATGGATCCTCTCTGTATCCTCATAAGAAACCCTTTAATGCTGGAAGCCAACAGTCATAAACGCTGTGGTGCCATCCCTGCAGAGAGTGGTGGTGAGTGCCGCCAGCTGTCCCTGGCGTGGGCATGGCTCTTACAGCTGGGGACTATGACCAAGCTCCCATCTCACTGCCCGGGGAAGGACAGTGATTTACCCTGCAGGCCCCAGGATACAGAAGCTGGCTACCTGCAGAGGCATCCAGTCTCCACAGTGGCCATGAGACCAGGCAGAGGTCAACCTGCCCTTTCCAGAACATAGGACTGCACCCTAGGATCATCAGGGCAGTCACAAATCGAGGAACAAACTGGGTCGATGGCACAGTTGGCTTCGCTTAGAGACTGAAACCCCGCCTTGGAATCCTGCTGAGGCTGGGTGGGGAAGCACAGCAGAGCATTCGTTGCTTGATATGGCTAAAGGGGTTCTTTACTGGTCACTCGCGGGTGCGTGGAGACAACAGACAACACAGCACAGCCTCCTCAGTCTTTCCAATTCTCTTTGGCTCCTTCATTCCTCAAGGAGCAGAGCAAGACAGGGAGTGTCCACTGGCTCCCACTGCCCCCTCCCATTGCAGAGGCAGCACTCACAACTGGGGGGGCCTCTGGTGGGGGAAGAAGGGGAGGGGGGCGAGAGCAAGAACAGACAGGCACAAGAGCCTGTGCTTCTGATGGATGGGTGGTCCTCAGCTCAACCCGTCTCCCGTGTAACAAGCCAAAGGCTGCTCCGTCAGATCATAACGGTCCACAAACTGCTGAGGTGGGCCAGTCCTAGGCACAGGATGGCTCTGCCCAGCTATAGAACCCAGCGTCACGAAGAAATCCTCTGCTTCGGCCTTGAACACACAGATGGGGTCTTTCCCTTGGTTTCCTGGCTCTGGACTAAAGCAAACAACTCAAGAGCACACAGGGTAGAGGAGGGTGGAGTACAGAAAGTTCCAGGGCAGGCACAGCACCGACCTGGGCCAACAGACCCGGGGGACTTCTGAGAGAGAACCTAAGTGGTAGTATTAGAGATGTCACCCGCACGCAGGGCCGAAGACGGTGGCTTGGGGAGAGCTTGCCTCCGACACCTTCCCTAGAAGGGCATTATGGTTCAGATGCATCCGTCTGCTACAACTTACTTTTCATACATTGCTCATCTGGACCACATTAATCTTCCAAGTTATGGAGGTATTCTTGATATTATTAAGACATTTCGGAATAGGCAAAGAGAGACCATGAGATGACTCTTGTTCTAGAAAGAGCCTTGGGGGCTGTGTTGATGACTCAGGTGATAAAGGGCTTGCCACACAAACATGAGGACCTGGAGTCAATCCCCCAGAATCCACAACGAACAGTCAGGCATGGTGAGTGTGAGTTTGTAACCTCAGCTCTGAGAAGGCAGAGACAGGAGGATCCCTGGGGCACACTGACCAAGTCAGGCTAGGAGATGGCTGGTGATAGGTGGTCTCCAGTGAGAGATACTGGAGACAGGGGAGAGGCTGGGGGAGCAGAGAGATGGCTCAGTGGGTAGCAGTGTCTACTATGAAAAATGAGTGCCCAAGTTTGGATCGCAAGACCCATGTAAAAAGCCAGGCAAGAAAGATCATAAAGTTGGGTGGTTAGGGGCGGGGAGGATACAGGGGATGGGGAAGGGAGAGACATTTAAGAAAAAAATTAAATTAAAAAATTAGTTAAAGAAAGCCAGGCAACACTGTATACACAGGTCCTTGTAACCCCAGCCCTGTGGGGCGGAGATGAAGAATCACTGGGGCTTGTTGGCCACCAGCCTGGCTCCAGGTTCAAGGGTAAGATGGAGAAGAGGGGACAGGACAGCAAAGTCCTCCTGAGGCTTCTGTGAACACACGTGTGCACACACCTGCACAATACACCACAGTTACACACACGCCACACCTGCACACACATACACCACACCCTCACAATGCACCAC